TATTTTTGTTACCCTAGGGACCTATACATTCTTTAGCATTTTCTCCTAATGGAAGATTCTTGGCAACAGGAGCGACAGATGGAAGAGTACTTCTGTGGGATGTTGGCCATGGCTTGATGGTGGGAGAGTTGAAAGGACACACAGAAACAATCTATGCACTCAGATTCAGTAGAGATGGAGAGATCTTAGCATCAGGTATGTATTGATCTGTTATTCTGTAGAACAATAATGCAAGAACAATAAACTTATGACTTCTACGATTTGACTTAATGTATATACTGGGGTATAAGCCTAGTTTTTCAGCCCTGAAAGAGCTCCCCTTGACTTAAACTCGGGTGAGGGCCCTGGCAGGAAGGCATGGGGCTGAAGGAAGGGCTTCTTTCAGTGCAATTCCTTCCTCCTAGACCCTCACCTCTCCGCATAGCAACCCAGCTCTCCTTCCTCTCTTGCGCAGTGCACAACTTCCTCTCCTCCTCTTGGCACAGTGCGCACCTCCCTTTCCTCTCTTGGTGCAGCACACACCTTCTCCTCCTCTCTCAACGCCAGTCTTTCCCACTTTTCCTTATTCATATATGCACAGCATTTCCCCCCAAATATATAGTTAAAATAAACTATGGTGATTATTGGAAGGATACGTAAGCACATTTACATTGAAGGTTAGAATAAGGATTTAAGTCATACCTTAAATTACAGTTTTATGTAAATATTCAAAAACATTTAACCTACGGATGCTTCAATTAATGTAATTTTATTGGTATCTATTTTTATTTTGAATTTTACCAGTAGCTGCTGCATTTCCCACCCTCAGCTTATACTTGAGTCAATATGTTTTCCCAGTTTTTGTGGTAAAATTAGGTGCCTCAGCTTATATTCGGGTCGGCTTATACTCAAGTATATATGGTACATTTAAATTTTAAGTTGTGCAGCACCATCCTATGCATTTTTATTTAGCAGCAAGACCCCCAGAGTAGTGGAACTTACTTCCAGAAGCCAGTGTGATGTAGTGGTTTGTGTGTTCGACTATGATTCTAGGGACCAGGGTTTGATTTTTTGCTCAGCATGAAACCCGCTGGATGACCTTGCACAAGTCATATTTAGCATCAAAGGAAGGCTATAGCACACCTCTTCTGCACAGATCTTTCAAGAAAACCCCCACCTTAGGTTACAAATACATTCAATACCTTTATTATAGGGTTAGAGCAGTGGTTCCCAACCTGTGGGTCCCCAGATGCTTTGGCATTCAACTCCCAGAAATCCTAACAGCTGATAAACTGGCTGGGATTTCTGGGAGTTGTAGGCCAAAACACTTGGGGACCCACAGGTTGAGAAGCACTGGGTTAGAGTCTTACTCTTCAGTGTAATTAGTAAGTGTTCACTTAAGGCACTGTTTTGAATCAAAATTGCTACATTGAGATTGCCTCTATAGAACTTCATTTGAGACCACCCCTCACCCCCGAAGTTAGAATTATTTTTAGATATTTGAACATAGAACGGGGCTTCCTGAAGAAAAGATTTTCCTGATAACATGGAAGGTTAAATCTCTTCCTCAGTGTATTATTCCTATTCTTTTCTTACCCATATCTCCCTTAGGATGGAGGAGGGGAACAACAGCTGATTAAAACAAAACAATATGGCTTAAGTTATAAAAATGATTATACAAATTCCATTAATTAACAGTATTAATAGTTCATGTTTTTGTTTTTAGAATTTCAGAAATATTTAAAAAAATAAGACCCCTTTCATAAATACATCTAATGCAACATAGATGGCATTGTAAACTCTTGCTTTATATTGATTGTACATGTAGCAGTGAATAAATGGTGATAAATTCGACAAGCTGATTGTGGTGAAACAATGAATCATATTACTTTATACTTTGAATCAGTGAATCCAAATCTTATCTTGAGTTTTATTCTCTTCATTTTTCTTAGGTTCAATGGATAACACAGTGAAACTTTGGGATGCTGTGAGAGCCTTTGAGGATTTAGAAACGGATGATTTCACTACAGCCACTGGACATATAAACCTGCCTGAAAGTTGTCAGGACTTGTTGTTGGGCACATACATGACCAAATCAACTCCTGTCACACACATTCATTTCACCCGCAGAAATCTGCTTCTTGCTGCTGGTGCATACAGTTCTCAATGACCTACCAAACTGAAAGACTTGATAGTTTACATTTTGCAAAGATCATTTAATAACATGCTTTTATGAAGATCACGGTGATTGTACAAATGAACTGGTCTGCTCGAGAAAACATTTTACACTATGACCTAAGCAGCTATTTATATCCCCTGTGCAAACAGAAGAGAGGAATCTTAAAGAAAGAAAGCTGAAGATTAATATGAGAAAAATGCTTGATTTCATTCAATAATGGGCATGGGCATTGTAAAAGCACAGTGCAGATAGGTTTGGGTAAGTGTATAATATTTGAGTAAATCTGTGAAAGCACTTAATTTGGCATTAGTACGGGCCAGACCAGTACATCAAGCTTTCTTTATCAGTAAGATTTGTTATAGAAAAGTGGCATTTTATATAGAGCTATATGCCTATTTACAGGGTAAATAGGAGGTCTAAGGGATTACTAGATTACACAAGACAACTTAATTTATTGAAAGCTGAAGAGTACTGATTGAACAAGTGCATAAAGTAGAAAATCATTAAAATTGAGTGGTATTTTAAGAGGACCTTCACCACCATTATTTGAAACTTTTTAAATGGAGAAGTTGCTGTCTTCCTTAACAATTCTGGCCCCTTAATACAGAAGTACAGCTTACTTCCCCAGAAGTCCAGTTTTCCTCAGGTGCTTGCCATTATGGAAAAGATATTGTATTCTGGCTAAGTCAGTAAATTTCATTAAGTGAAACATATGCATAAAAAAATCCTGCCATGGACTTTGCATTTTGTACAGTTTTATACTTTTGATATTTTATAATAAAAGTTATGTTGTAAATATATTTCCATCTATGTCTCTACTACCCAGATTTACCTATCTTTACACCATTCAACCAGAATTTTTTCTGTTATTGAGTATGTATATTATGATTAATAGCAACCCTTGTTCACCAACTACACAGCCCTAAAAAAAGTGCACTATGTTGGCATAATACAGTAAATGAAAGGATTCCATACTTGACTTCACCACCAAGTGCTCACAGATGCCTGCCTCTTGTTTTGTCATATGTCAAACTCCAAGACAGTTTGAAAATAACAGAAGTGAAGTCTCGGCAAAACCAAAATATAAACATAGCTTGAATTCTTCTCCTTTTATCACCCTACCTTACCCTCAACATGATTTAGCTTTAGATGGAGGCAGCATATTGATAGAAATGAGATGTTAATCATTTTAGTTCACTAGCCCATTCTTCAGGAGTTTGCATTTGTCTTAACAAAATCCCACATCTGTCTCCAGCAACATGGAAGTAGCCACTTCATTTGGCACAGATTTGCAGGGAATGCTGGCATTTTGATATAAAATCTCTATACCATCCTTAAGTAGTTTCAGAAAATACATGTGCATACAATCTTAAAGTATTTCCCTGCCATTTCTTTGTAATAACACTGAAAGTTTGAAAAGGAGAATGTGCTCATAGCAACTTACACTAAAAATGTAAAGTCTACAAAAATACTGACCTTTCCATACAAAGAGATTATATAGCCATGAAGTAAAACATAACTTGATACAAGTAATGACTGATAAGCTGTAAGATAGTCTTCTATATCCAGTGCACCTATGAGTATATTTGACGTTTTTCTCCCAGGGACATGGTTCCTGTGGCAGCTAATGCATGGTGACTATTTCACAGTGACAACAGTTTAAAGCACTGTCAAACACAAGGCCCAGGGGCCAAATCTGGCTCACCATATCATTTTATGTGGCCTTCCAGGTGCTGGACTACAAGACATCAAGACTAGAGCTGATGGCAATTCGAATACAAGGCCATCTGGAAGGTTGCAGTTTATTCTGTTTAGTTAGGAGAGTGAGGTTTGGATTTAGATACAAGGCTTGTGGATCTAATGTCTGACTTTAAAATGTCCTTTAAAAGCCACAAGTCGAGGTGAGCTCCCGAATGTTAGCCGTAGCTTCTGCCAACCTAGCAGTTCGAAAACATGCAATGTAAGTAGATCAATAGGTACCGCCTTGGCGCAAAGATAAAAGATCACCCTGTGCAGATATGCAATATGCTGGCAACAGATCTACGGATAACAGCTTCCTAGACATGGAAAGAATTGAACAAGAGCACCTCCCCATGGCTGGAAGTTGAGCAGCGCCTCCAGATGCCAGAGATGGAAAAGGCGGAAGACCTTTACCTCTGTCTGTATTATTGTACGTCATTGTGTATAAGGAATTGAATGTTTGCCTCATATGTGTTCTGTAATCCACTCTGAATCCCCTTCGGGGACATAGAGCAGAATATAAATAAAGTGTATTATTTATTATTTAACCTTTCCGAACCTCAGAGCCACAAGTGCTGTTGGGCTGCCATTCCCATTATCCCCAGTCCACATAGCAGATAATCAAAAGTGATGGGAATGTCATTCAACAACATTGGGACCCAAACTGGGTAAAAACAACAGCACTGACCACTATGTACAATAGATTACAGTTGGCCCTCTGTATCCAAAAATTCCCCATCCATGGATTCAATGGTTCTTTGAAGGCTATTGTGGCCATCGATGAAAATGAGTTTTAAACCCCTGGTTTAAAAGATCAATATCCGGGAAATAAGTGACAATTATACTGAAGGAGAGGTAGAATAGCATATATGTGTTTTAGTACTTTTTTACCTTCTCCAATTTACCTAAAATCTGCTTCTAGGTTTCAAATTTGATTAACTAGAAATAGTACTGCAGAAATAATCTCGTTACAGTGGCCAATTAACTGAATCGATAAACGAAATAATGACAACTTTTGATTTCTAAGCCATTCTATCACTGCAGTATCTCATAATCTGTCATAAATATAAGGTACAGGGAATAGATCAATTATGTTGGTCTGTTACAGCTGGAAAGATACTTTATTTGAATGAGATTCACATTTCATTTCTGGAGCAGAATACAGGGTAACATCCAAAGATACTACAATGTCTAAATAAGGATTTACCTTAATGTATGTTTCCAGCATAGATTGAAAGTTCTTTAACCAAACTGTAGACATTAAAACCAGTAGTTATATAGAGCAATCACTTCTGTTTTAGTAATGCATACAGAAGACAAACTTGATCATTGTTCATGATTTATTGACGGGAACATCAGTTTCTACTAGCTGCAGCAAAACAGTATTGCAAGTTCAGTTTCAACATGACAGCAATCTGCAAAGAATAACATTATAAAGTTACCATATTGTGAATAATCATGATAGATAATTTCTATTTTAATTTGAAATAACAAAGATAAGATGCCTGTCCAGAACTACAAGTAGACTTCCGGTTGACAGGCATCCTGTCAGTATAAATTCAACATATGCCTGCATAAATTTCTAGAGCTTTTTCTGAAGGTCATGTGATGGCAAAATTAATGACATCCCTCATACAACAAGCCCATGTCCCAAGGTGCATTTTCTTCCTGAGTCCCATCTACTAGCTATTTCGTGGCTTTTGGAGAACAGAGGGTTTCAGAGAACACTTAGCTGCTGCCACATGCAGAACCACAAAGACAATACTGGGAAACAGTCAAATCTTCTGTTGTCTAGCAACCATTAAATGGAATTAAATAGAAGGATAGTCCTACAGGACGGCTAACGTGTAGTTCTACCTCAGAAGAACTGTATGTCTCTGATGCATCTCAGCCAAATGGGCTTCAGGTAAATGTGATATGAAAGTTTATAATCTTATTTATATTAAATACTACATTTCTCTGCCACATAGTGAGAAAATGCAGGATAAAAGCCATCTAGCTGAAGTTGCCAAGGAAAGACTGGTACAGTAAATTGTATGCTGAGCCACAGTTATTACTGAAACAACTTTTGCATAACTTCTATAAAGTAGCTGTGGGATTGGAACCCTTGATAACAACATTCTACATTAACTTGGTTCTGTATCAAATCAAATTCCATTATCACACCTCTGTACCTGACACCTGCTAGTTAAAAAAACACAGGATAATTTGTCTGGCAAAGAAGCAAATGTTTCTATGTTCAAGATGAAACTAGATACTTATTTAACAAATGTTGTAGTGCAATTACTTAATTCATAGAGTCAATTTACCTAAAGTTTGGAGGGAATCATGAGATATTGTTAGCTTGCAATTCCCTTCTGGAGGGTTGCAAAAATATTCGCCCATGGATTAAATTCTACGATTTTTTTTTGTAACAATATGAGTATTTTGAATTCTGAAGTGGCATTATATTTTTGATGAACATCATATAAATACAGATATGTAAATGGCTGTCCGAAAGATCCCAGTGGAATCAGAATCAGCTTATAATTAAATCTTCATTTGCTAACTAATGACAAGACAGTAATGAAAGACCCTTACCGGCATTATTTCTGTGTCACAGCAGGAGTTTGTTTTTTAGGCCTCAGTTTAAAGTACAAGATGATCATTGCAATGGTTCCATATGTGGCTAGTACATACTAAAGACACAAAAAAATATCAACAGTGAGATCAAGTACACTCCAAAATCATTCTATATAGTTATTCAAATAGCCACTTACATTTCTTCTCCCTGTTATGGTGTAGGAATTGAAGTACTTCTGAAATCCCGTGAATTGGTGTTGTGATCCATGTGCATCATGTCCTGCCATTGCTGCTAGTCCTAGATTTTAAAGGAAAATTCGTAACACATCCTTTAGAAGTCTTTTAAATACTTTATAGCCAAAACACGTTGACTCCATTCATTTTTGTACATTTCAAAATAAATATATTAACCATGAAAACTAATAGTAGTTCAGTAGGATATGCTGATATGATCCTACACTGTATGCTGCCCCTTTTGTGGAATGACCATAGGGGTAGCATTATCATTAGAAGATTAAGAGATTCAGATGAGCTTGTAAAGAGATTCACACTAATTTCTGCTTAGTCCCCTAGTCCTCAACAGGAATGTCAGTTACTGTAAGTCAGAAGACAAAACATGTTTAGCCTGCAGAAGAGAAGGCTGAGAGGAGACATGATGGCCATGTATAAATATGTGAGAGGAAATCATAGGGAGGCCCTAGCAGGCTTGTTTTCTGCTGTCCTGGAGATGAGGACGTGGAAAAATGGCTTCAAACTACAGGAAAGGAGATTCCATTTGAACATTAGGAAGAACTTCCTGACTGTGAGAGCTGTGGAGCAGTGGAACTCTCTGCCCCGGAGTGTGGTGGAGGCTCCTTTTTTGGAGGCTTTAAAACAGAGGCACTTTATTACTCTCATTAGTGCAATTAACCCTACTTTAGCCTTCGGTTCCCCTATCCAGATATATTACATTGCTGTCTCGCCCAATGTTTTAATTTTTAATTACATTAGAATTGGCCATGCCTATAGTGTTTGACTTCTGTGTTTTAAACGTCATGATTTTGTACTACTGATGTGTTATTTATAATTGGTTTTGTATTGTATTTTTATTTTATATTTTATTTCTGTGTTCTGTTATATTGATGTATTGTATTGCTGGGCTTGGCCTCGTGTAAGCCGCCCCACGTCCCTGTGGGGAGATGGTGGCGGGGTATAAAGTTTTTAAAATTTATTATTATCTGTTGGGAGTGCTTTGAATGTAATTTTCCTGCTTCTTGGCAGGGGGTTGGACTGAATGGCCGACAAGGTCTCTTCTAACTCAAGGATTCTATTATTCACTAGCTGTCCCCTGCCATGCGTTGCTGTGGCCTTTAGAAAACAGAGGAATTCCAGACATGGAACAATAGACAGAAGAGACATATGGAAGGGACATTGAGAGATGGAACAGAAGGTAGATGGATAGAACATAAGATAAGTAGGTAGTTAGATGGATGGTCAGACAGGCACACACCTTTAAGGGGCCAAAGGGGGTTGGACTGGAAGGCCTTTGAGGCTGCCTTACAACAGGTGGGCCATCTGTCGGGTAGGCTTTGATGGTGTCTTCCTTTACCACCCAATGAGGTTGGACTGGATGGCCTTTGGGGCTCCCTTCCAACTGGTTAGCTATCTGTCGGGTAGGCTTTGATTATGTCTTCCTTTACCGCCCAATAAGGTTGGACTGGATGGTATATCCTTTCCAACTGGATGGCCATGTGTCAGGAGGGCTTTGATGGTGTTTTCCTTTACTGCAAAAAGTGGTTAGGCCGAATGGCCTATGGGGCCTCTTTAACTACCAGGGCTCAATGCTGTGGAATAATTCCACGGTATAGACCAGGTAGGGGCAGACTTGGGCCCTCCGGGGGGGGGGGGGCTGGACTCCAACTCCCACAATTCCTAACAGCCTTTGGAGTTGGAGTTGTTTTTGTCGCTGTGTTTTTGAGTGATGGTCACTCGTTGGCCTGATAAGTGTATTGTGTCCAAATTTGGCATCAATTAGTTCAGTGGTTTTTGAGTTATGTTAACCCCACAAACGAACATTACATGTTTATTTATATAGATTTCCATTCTTGGAACCACAATAAGGGCCCTTCCACACAGCCATATAGCCCAGAATATCAAGGCAGATAATTCACAATATCTGCTTTGAACTGGGTTATCTGAGTCCACATTACCATTTCAATGTGGATTGTATACAGCTGTGTGGAAGGGATCTGAGTCTCTTTTTGAGGGAGCAAAACAGAAGATCTAACAACGCTTCAATTCATTGACTAGTCCAGGCATGGGCAAACTTGGGCCCTCCAGGTGTTTTGGACTTCAACTCCCACCATTCCTAACAGCCGGTAGGCGGTTAGGAATGGTGGGAGTTGAAGTCCAAAACACCTGGAGGGCCCAAGTTTGCCCATGCCTGGACTAGAATGATGCTTGCTTACTAAATGGTCACAAATTACTATTAGAAACCAAATGGTCACAACCAAATCGTCACAAATTACTATTAGAAACCCAAAGGCTACCCACCTCTCTCTCGTCCCGGCAACAACCATTCAATGCCCTTCGCTTCCAAAATGGCGTCGCTCAGAAACAATCGGCCGTCCTTTCCGCTTGCTTCCGATTGGCTGGGGCAGAAGCCCCGGCACGCGATGACGTAACGACGTCCGAAAGGTGTTTCTCGATTGATTGGGCAACCGGCATGCCCGTTACGTTACGGCGTCCCCTCCCCTTCCTGCAGCCTTTTTTCCCCAAGGCTCTATGGTTAGGCAGAAGGCACTTCCTTTTCCCTTTGCTCGGTCTCAATTTCGCTTCCGGGTTGTTGAGCCAATGGTGTCTTCTCACCACGCGTACGGCGAAGCGCAGTAAAAGCGTGCGAGGAGTGAACCGAGTTCTCTGGAAAAGAGATTGAGAGAGAGAAAATGGACTGAAAGAGTCTGGCTTGAGCGGAGTTGCTGGGAACTGAGGAAGGTGTGTAACAAAAGTCGGGTGCATCTGCACTGTAGCATTAACGCAGTTTGTCACCACTTTAATTGCTTTGGATCAGTGCTATGGAATCATGGCAGTCAATAGCTTTAGAAGGCTTTCAACCTTCGCTGCCAAACAAGGCTGGTGCCTCACAAACTACAAATCCCAGGGTTCTATAGCATTGAGCCAAGGAAGTTAAAGCGGTATCAAACTGCGGTAATTCTACAGTGTAGATGCACCTAACATTGTATTAATTTTTTAAAGGAGAGTGCATCAAGAGTCTGGAGAACAAGCCTTATGAGGAAGGGCTTAAAGAGCGGGGCATGTTTAGCCTGAAGAAGAGAAGGCTGAGAGGAGACATGATAGCCATGTGTAAATATGTGAGAGGAAGTCATAGGGAGGAGGGAGCAAGCTTGTTTTCTGCTGCTCTGGAGACGCGGAACAATGGTTTCAAACTACAAGAAAGGAGATTCCATCTGAACATTAGGAAGAACTTCCTGACTGTGAGAGCCGTTCAGCAGTGGAACTCTCTGCCTGAGAGTGTGGTGGAGGCTCCTTCTTTGGAAGCTTTTACACAGATGCTGGATGGCCATCTGTCAGGGGTGCTTTGAATGCAATTTTCCCGTTTTTTGGCAGGGGGTTGGACTGGATGGCCGAAGAGGTGTCTTCCAACTCTATGATTCTAAGACCTTGTAATGCTGAAGATCAGAATAGGAGAAGATCACATACCACCTTCTAATGAAATTCTAGTTTTCATATGGCCCCTCCTCGGTCTCGGCGTCTCTCCTCCTTCATTGCCAATGCACTGCCTCTTTTCTCATTTGCACACATTACTCCCCATTGTTATGCAAAGGTACCCGCTACATGATTGTAATCCACTATTCTTCAACCAGTACAACTCTAGTGTAATGAGATGTATTATTTTCTTATGCTTTTCCCCCTTACTTTGGAAAATTTAATGTTGTTGTTTATTCATTTAGTTGCTTTCTACTCTTCGTGACCTCATGGACCAGCCCACGTCAGAGCTCCCTGTCGGCCATCACCACCTCCAGCTCCTTCAAGGTCAAGCCAGTCACTTCAAGGATACAATCTTGCCCTTGGTCGGCCCCTCTTCCTTTTTCCTTCTCTAAGCTTTCCTGTCTTCTCATTATGTGACCAAAATACTTCATCTTTGCCTCTAATATCCTTCCCTCCAATGAACAGTCAGGCTTTATTTCCTGAAGTATGGATTAGTTGAATCTTCTCGCAGTCCAAGACACTCTTAGAATTTTCCTCCAGCGCCAGAGTTCAAAAAGTCTATCTTCCATTGCTCAGCCTTCCCTATGGTCCAGCTCTCACATCCGTAGCTGACTATGGGGAATACCATTGCTTTAACTACGCAGTTCTTTGTTGCCAGTGTGATGTCTCTGTAATCTTCGCACCTAGAAATACAAAGTCTGTCACTGCCTCCACGTTTTCTCCCTCTATTTCCAAGTTATCAATCATTCTTGTTGCCATAATCTTGGTTTTTTTATGTTTAGCTGCAACCTAGCTTTTGCGTTTCTTCTTTCACCTTGATTAGAAGGCTCCTCAGCTCCTCCTTGCTTTAGGCCATCAAAGTGTTAGCATCTACATACCTAAGGTTGTTAATGTTTCTTCCAGCAATTTCAACTCTAGCCTTGGATTCGTCAAGCCCCGCACATCGCATGGTGTGTTCTGCATACAAGTTGAATAGGTTGGGTGAGAGTATGCAGCCTTGCCGTACGCCTTTCCCAATCTTGAACCAGTCTGTTGTTCCATGGTCAGTTCTTATTGTTGCTATTTGGTCCTTATACAGATTCCTCAGGAGAGAGATAAGGTGATTTGGTATGCTCATACCACCAAGGACTTGCCACAAAACAGCTCTTACCATCAGGAATTTTTAGGTAGAATCTTTTTTTCCTCGAGTTTGCCGTATCCTCAAGTTGACACACTTTCAGATATTTACACGTGGTTATCAGGTCCCTTCCAAACTGTCTTTTTTCAAGCTAAACATACCCAGCTTCCTCAGCTGCTCCTCATAGGGCTTGGCTTCCAGACTTTTGACAATTTTGGTATCTCTTCTCTCCACATGTTCCAGATTCTCAAGCTTTTTAAACTACCACATCACACTGCTGACTCAATCTGGAGTACAGATTGGAGAGGACTATAAACATGTCCTAACCCTAATTGGAGAGTTCACTTTAGGACAGGGGTTTCCAACTGTGGTCTGTGGACTACCAGTAGTCCTCAAGAACTAAAATATGGCCTGTGGCCTCACCATTACTACATTGTTGCAACAAGAGCGACTGGTCTCACAAAACCCTGTTATAATGCCGAGGCTTATTAAATATGGTTTTCTGTGGGTGAGCAGATGGCAACTACTGGATGGCATATGTTCTGTATCAGAAAGTAGAGCTGATGTGGTCTATACAATGTAATTTTTTGAATCAAATAACTAAACTGAATCTAAACTTGACCAAAAACTGATTTGTAACTCTTTTGGTACTCTTTTGGTTGGAGAGTGGCCCCTAGTCACTGCTTCGGTATTATCAGCTCCTTCAGTATGACCCAGGGCTTTGAATTTTATTTCTGCAGTGTGCAAAGGAGCCATGCTATAGCCATGTATATGCTATGTCCTAATGGTGTTCATATAAAATTATTGCTACATATGTAGCATTGCTTATAAGAGGAGTTCAAGAATATGTCCATGTTGATTTTGCTTTCACGGGTGCAATTTTTAAATGAAATAATTTTGTCTTCCTCTCAGAAAAATAACCATGTCATCCCTAGAAGAAAATTTCCCTCGAGGGGGAACACATAAGAAAAGACAAGAAGAAAATACACCCAGACCACAAACAGTAGACCAAGACAATTTATTCCAGGTATGTTGATTATGAAGATATGAAGTTGTCATCTGCTAAGTCTCACTATTGATAGATACAGCCAAAAATCTTAGAGGTGTTCCCCAGATTTCTTGGCCATCTTTTTTAATGCAGATGCTAAATAATGATTCTGGGATCTTCTCTGGTGTATGCAAGAGGTGGAGAAAACTTCATCAAGAAGACTAAAGTTGATGTTGTCCTTTAATAGTCAAGTGTGATTGAGGACCTTATGACATTAGGAAATACTCCATTTATTTATTTATTTACTTTATTTGTATACCGCAGTTTCTCAGCCCGCAAGGCGACTGAACGCGGTTAACAACAAGAGCAAAAATTCAATGCTAACAACATACATTATTTAAAAACAAATAACACCGTAATATACTAAGTAATTACACATCAATAAACAACACATTAACATCTCGTAACTAGAATCATGATCCAACTCGTCATCCGTAATTCCGTTTTCCTATATTCATTATATTCATTGCACTGTTTATTCAAACTCCTGTTCAAATAGCCAGGTTTTCAGTTTTCCTCGAAACACCATTAACGAGGGGGCCGATCTAATGTCCATGGGAAGGGCGTTCCACAGCCGAGGGGCCACCACTGAGAAGGCCCTGTCCCTTGTCCCCGCCAAACGTGCCTGTGATGCAGGCGGGATCGAGAGCAGGGCCTCCCCAGAAGATCTTAAAGTCCTGGTGGGTTCATAGGCGGAGATGCGTTCGGATAGGTAACTTGGGCCAGAACCGTTTAGGGCTTTATAGGCCAATGCCAGCACTTTGAATTGTGCCCAGTAGCAAATTGGTAGCCAGTGGAGCTGGCGCAGCAGAGGAGTTGTATGCTCCCTGAGTGCCGCTCCTGTTAGTATCATGGTTGCCGAACGTTGAACCAATTGAAGCTTCCAAGCAGTCTTCAGAGGCAACCCCATGTAGAGAGCGTTGCAGTAGTCTAAACGGGATGTAACCAGAGCGTGGTTTCTGAAATTGTTTGAGAATTATTCTTACAGATCCCATCACATGCCATTTGCTCCATCCTGTCAGTATTCCACCAGAATCTCTGTAAATAACCTGAAACAGATTATTTGCAGACGAAAATCTAGTTCATGTTTTTTGAAATACTACAGATTCTTTAGTTGTCGAGGCACTTTTTAAATGTATGATAGGACAATCTGCATTCATCCCATCAGAAATGATATTTTTAAAGGTCATAGAGTGATGTAGGAGTGTTTGAATGGATTGGGAGGAGCCATCCTTTCATGATGTGATGAGTTAAAGCACAGTATTTTCAAATTATAAGAATCAGGTATGATGAGAAGAGTATTCATTCTGTCTCAGAACAGTATGAACCCAGTCCTAAAAATATATGAAATGCATACTGATACGAACGGATTATATCCTAGAGTGATAAGGTCCTTAGTGTTGCATCCAAAGCTAGCCGTAACCTTGAGGTTATGCTATTTTTCACTTTGTTTTCCTATAGTTGGATTAATGTGTTTCTTTGTTGATCCAATAGTTAGTTTCTTATACTAGTAAGCATCTGCTTTGATTTTAAAAGTAATTGTTAAGTTTGTTATATTGGGAAGCAGCTGTCTTCGATTTTAAAAATATTTTTTTTCTTAGCCACAGAATGAAGAGGTAACTCAGAAAAGAAAGAAAAAACGTCAGGATCGAACAGAACCCAAAAAACTGAAGTCTGAGGAGAGAGCTATTGTAAAAATTCATGCAAAGGATTTTGAACTTCTGACAGCTGAGGTTGGTATATAATTTATCTTTTGATTCATTTTACATAATATTATTATTTCAGATTGTTCTATATCAATTGGTTGTTGAAGAAGTGCCACAGAAGTGCTGAGAGCTAAGCTGTCATTACCTAGAATAGGAGTTGGCAAAGTAGCCCATGGCCGCATGCCATTTTTGTGATTTCTGCATTCTTCTGGTCCTCTGAAATAGTAGTTCTGTGTTTGTGGCCATCTTAGAGAAAACAGAAAAGGACTACAAGGTTTTGATACTTTATTTCATGTTCAGACCTAGCATAGCTGATGAAAAATCCCAAATTTGCTCTTGGACCTTTCAAAGCCATACAGATATTCCAGAGCTGACCAAAGTTGCATTATAATTTCCACCTTGCCTCTTTATTTTGGATGTTAAGTCTATCTCTAATCTGCTAGCATTCTTTGTAAGTTAATGTATTTTCCCAGGCAAGGGCACTACAGTAAATAACTAGGAAGAGTATATTTCTCTTGCTTGCTCCTTAAAGTTTGTTGTTTTAAAACAGTCTCTCACAGAAGGGATGCTGCTTCTAGGATGCGTGAAAGAAGCTCATCAGTTGGAGCTGGTGATCAGTTTGCCAAATGGGCTCACTGGGTTTGTTCAAGTGACACAAATATGTGATGCCTACAGCAAAATTCTGAATACTCAGGTGGCCACAGATGAACACTTGGAGGTAAAACCTAGTGCCTTACTCTAGAAAACTTAAGTAATTGTTAAGAAAATGTATATTTTGTTCTGTTACTACAAGACTTCATGCAACATATATCTTAGTGTTTCACTTCCCAGAGCAGAGGTCTCTAAACTTTCCATGTTGGTGACATGTTTTTTAGACATGCATCCTTTCACAACACAGTAATTTGGTTAAACCACCCCCTATAAGAGTTTCATACAATATATATATGTGTGTATGCACATGTGAATGAAACTTATATATATAATAAAATAAAATATTATGTAGTGTATGTGTGTGTATATATGTGTGTGTGTGTATACACACACACTATATTATATTATATACTGGATATATTTTATATGATCTTTACTGTATAAACAAGGGTTTGGAATTTTTTCCTTTACATTTCTTATGTACTACACTTGCTTCTTGTGTAGATTCCTCTATAGCTGCTCTGTGTAGATCACCACAAACATTATCAACAGATTTTCTTTTCTTAATTAGAAACCTATCCATTTTAGTAGCAATTACTGCAACTCAATCAACAAATTGTCCAAATTATAAAAGTTATAGGGGTACCTACACTTGAACAGCATCAGCACTCCACTTCTGTAGTGATTAAGCCTCTCTGGGGTTTTTTAAACAGAGGCTGGAAGGCCATTCACAGGTGCTGTGACTGTGTCTTCCTGCTTGGCTGAAGGGGGTTGGACTAAAAACCCTTTGGTAGGGTTTCTGGAGACTCCTTCTTTGGAGGTTTTTGAATTGAGATTGGATGACTGTCTGTGGGGGAGGGGGCTTTGACTACCTTCCTGTCTAACTGAAAGGGGTGGGCTGGATGCCATTTGGGGATCTTCTCCTCATGACTATGATCACTGTTTGGGGTGAGGCGGAGAGCTGAGGAGACAGAAGGATGGCCAGCACAAGACCTTGTGCTTGGCGCATCCACTTAGAGCTCCCCAAGTGGTGATAGTTTCTGCTGTTGCTCTGACAGGTGTGTGTGTGTGTGTGATGCACTGGCAGACAACAGCCAACATATCAGTGTATTGCTACACACAGTTTGGAGAGCTCTGTTCTAGAAGTATTATAAAATGTCTATGGAAATGAATGTATGCAAAATTCACTAGAAGAAAATGAAGATAATATTTACTGTGTATTGTTCTCAATTTTGAATATAACCCTTCTGTTGTATTTGCCTTCTTAAACCGAATCTACCATTAACAAAAACTTGCCTTTAGTTTCTCTTTCATATTATGGAAAAAATAAGGATTGAATTACATCCTCCTTTTCATCACTTTTCAAATATAGTGGCTTATGAAAGAATCATTTTATTTGATTAGTGATCCATGGCCAGTGTTTTGATTGCTGGTGCTTGGATACATTCAATTATTTTGGTCCATCTGCATGACTTTTCATTTGCAGGATCTGAGTTCTCTCTCAGACCTGTTCTTTCCAGGGATGGTGGTCAGATGTGCCGTTGTTAATTTAGAGAATACTAAAACAGGACGCCGAAGTATCCAGCTCACAGTTAACCCCAAGGATGTTAACAAGGCTTTGAATTCTACAACTCTGAGGCCTGAAATGGTATGAAATATATGTGTTTTCTGTTGTTTTGTCCTCATTTCATTTCATAAATCTATTGTTGATTGAGACAGCTTACATAAATCAGAGAGTTATGATATTATGAGTTATAACTGCACAACGGAAGCACCAGAGCAGAACGTTTTTTTAAAAAAAAATGTGTTAAACTTCAAATTTAAATGCAAATGTAAAGTGGAGATCCAGATGAATAGACTATTCTCAGAGTAATAAAAGAGAAAGTACCTAGTTATGAGTGAAAGAATAAAGAAAATGCATTTTCCTGTTTCCAGAGAAAAGTCATTTATATAAAAGCTCTGTTTAGATTGAAGAAAAGCATTACATGAACGCATTCTCATGTAGTTTCCTTGGTATCTGGGGAGCCTTGTGTTGTGAGAATTCCCTTTCTGGTGTGGGAAGGGTTTCTGTACCTATAATAAGTATATATAAGGAAGAATTTCAACACATCTATTTTACTTCTTATACTAATTGAATACAGGGGTGGGGAGGTTACATTTTAATGGATTACTGTTTTATATATAACAGTTTTCTCCACCTTTATATCTATCTCCCCAAGGGGACTTACGGCAGATTACAGAACACATATATGGCAAACAATCAATGCTATTATACAGTTAACAAGGACAGACAATATATAAACAGAGGTATATAGGCTTTCCCATATTTGACATCTGGAGGCTGTGCTTGACTCCAGCCAAGGGGTCGTGCTGTCGCTCCATCTTCCATGCTTTTTGTTTAAACGTTCTCAGGCATGTTCTTATGGGAGCCTTTTATTTATTGAAACTGAAACTCCCAGTAATAAGGATCTTGTCCATCTGGAGGTTTCAATGAATTGCCCTAATACTCAAAGCCGTTGCTCACCCAAGTAACAGAGTCTTGAAAGAGGCCAGACTATCCAATATATGAGAACCACAGACTTGTTCCTTTTTCAGAGATTTTAAGCTAATATGCTTCTTCTTCTTACAGCTGCTCTCTGGATGTATTGCAAGTGTGGAAGATCACGGTTACCTTATTGACATAGGTATTCCAGCAGCAAAAGCATTTCTGCCGCGTCAGAAAGCCCAGGGGTATTTGCAGTCAAACAACAAAGGTACATCTATAAATTACAAATGGCATTGGGAACAGCTCTGTTAACAGTGGAAGAAATTCATGGCTCTGTTATGGAATCTTAGACATGGAAGTAATTCAGAAGCAGATCATTGCAAATGGGTGTACTACTCCAGTGAAGATCACAGTAGCAAGATGCATTTTACAGTTTTGCTGTTGAGCTGCTTTTGTATCAAAAGCACAAATGATACCTTTCAATTGGGAAGATTTTTCTTTTTTCATTGTAATGGAAATTATCATGATAGCAGAAAAGCATTAGGAATCCAATGATGATAATAATAGTTAATAACAATAGCTATTTATGCTGGCTATGTAGGAGCTGAACTGAAAATAGGGCAATATCTGAACTGCCTTATTGAAGATGTCAAGAACAGTGGAAGGATAATCCGAATGTCCATCAGTCAGTCTGAGATTGCTGCAGCCATTGCCACAGAAGAACAAAATTGGTCACTCAGCAACTTGTTACCTGGACTTGTGGTAAAAGCCAAGGTTCGGGAGGTAAGGTATCCATTATTTTAGATTGTTTTCTTCAGAAACTTGGGCCATGTGGGTACACATGTGCATTGCTTCATTAGTTCCCAGTGAACAACATTAAAAATACTTTCTATATAGTGCCCACAAGTTCTGGAAAATAAAGTGAACCATTTAATATGATAGGAACTCAGGTGAAAAGGACAACCATTTTCTTCCATTGTTCAGGAGTACACACCTGCACCTGGAAGAAAAGACTTCTTTTTTCTTATTTCTTTTCTCAACTACTGTAAAGCTGATATCAAATTATGGCTCTCATGAATGAGAGACGCCCAGGTCCCCCTATTTTGAACAGTCCTACTCAGGTCTTACAGATTGTGTATCTTAAATTGTAGATGTTTTATCCTTCCTCAGAATCTAATCGAGCCTTTTGCATGATACGTTCTGTGTACAAGTTAAACTGATAGGATGATAAAATGCTACTTTTTATAAGGTGTTTCCTAGCTTCAAATTTTCTTTTCACCTTTGAGGACATTAACAGCAATCTTTTCAGCTTGCATCTGGTTGTGTCATTAGCCACAACGTGGCATGCATTTTTCCTCTGCTCTTCCCCACTAACTTGTTGTGCCCATTCTGACCTGGGATTCACATCTTTTCCATTATCACTTATTTTAATTGGAAGTGTTTCATCATAAAGGGAACTTTCACATGAAAGCAATCATATGAGCTTCAGAATTTTTACCATTTGCTACATCTCAGCACATCTGTGCCAGGCCATGACTTCCACATTTTTACAACCACTGTATACATAAGGGCGAGTGTTGATTACTTATCAATGTTAGTTATTAAATTAAAGAAAAATAATTGTACCAGTTTAATTTCTGGAATTAGATAAAATAAAAGAGGTTCAAAATGGAGACTTTTGGTTGCAGTTTCCTTGGAGAATATGTGTGAAGCTAGAGCGGTGCTTCTCAACCTGAAGGTTTTGACCTTCAACTCCAAGAAATCCTAACAGCTGCTAAACTGGCTAAGATTTCTGTGAGTTGTAGGCCAAAACCTTAAATAGACAACACATAAACACTTGGAAAAACCTATTAGGAACTCATATTCATCAGTGTTTTCTATAGAATCTTAGATCCAGTAGAAGATGTTACCCTTTCTCTTAAAATTTCCAGGTGACACCTTCTGGAATGTCTTTAAGTTTTCTGTCGTCCTTTACTGGAATTGTGGATTTTATGCATAAGAATCATCTAAAAGGAAAAAACTATTCACCTGGTGACATGGTAAGTAGTTTATAGCAAAGGCATATTTGTGTAGTATTGCTGTGGGATCTGAATAAACTGAAATGAATGGGTAGATTTTATGTTGTTTATCTTGTGGGTTAGGATGGATAAGGACAGGTTTTTTTTATGTCAGGAGCAACTTGAGAGACTGCAAGTCACTTCTGGTGTGAGAGAATTTGCTGTCTGCAAGAATGTTGCCCAGGGGACGCCCGGATGTTTTGATCTTTTGCCATCTTTGTGGGAGCCTTCTCTTGTCAGCTGGAGCTGGCAGAGGGAGCCCATCCGTGCTCTCCCTGGATTTGAACCTCTGTCGGTCTTCAGTCCTGCTGACACAAGGGTTTAACCCATTGCGCACCGGGGGCTTCAATAAGATCAGTGTAGATAATATTCTCCATTTAGCTTTTCTTTGTCTAAGGAGGCACCAAAACATTTTTTTAAAATTCTCTTTTTTTCTTTCCTTCAGGTAAAAGCCTGTATTCTTTCCAATAATCCAACTACGAAGGCAATACGTCTCTCTTTGCACCCAGCCTTCCTTCAGCCTGGTACCCAGCTTGGCCAGCTGTGTAGCGATCGGATTGGGATGATAGTGGAAAACTCCAAAGTGAAGACCTTCCTCTCCAAAACGGGTGCCATCTTTGTGTTGGATGATGGCAGCCTAGGTTTTGCACGTGTATGTTCCTGAATGCCATTTACACCTTATAATGGACTAACTCTTCCAAATATTTCGTATTTTGTTTACAGAGCAGCAATGTATAATTTTACCTATGAATTAATACCAAGTAGTTGCCGTCCAACATTTTTCAGAGTATGAGTCTTACAATGTTTGTCAGAGTGTGAGTTTTACTGATGAGTAGCCAGAAAAAACACGCCCTATCAGCTTTTCTAAGGTCTTTTGTAGTATGATAATACTGATTAGTTGTGCTATGAATAAAGTGTATATGTGAAAAAACTCTCAGAATGAGTGCATCGTAATGCATATAGGAATATGAAATTTAATCAGTAATCAGTTCTCTTGGCTTTGTATTTTTTGGAGTATAACAAGGTTGATAATAAACAAACATTGTTTTAATCACATTTTTATTACTCATCCTTGTAGCAAAGACATCTTTCAGATTCACGCTTATCTTTCAAACCGGAGATGTTTAAGCCTGGAAATGAGCATAAATGTCGAATTATTGAGTACAGCATGATGGATGAGATGGCACTGTTGTCCCTCAAACAGTAAGCTTCTTGCCTCATTAATTTGCATAAATCAGGTTTCTAAAAAGAAACAACTCCATAAATGTATAAATAGTTCCAACAGGTTAGAGCTTTTTTCTAATTATTATTATTATTTAATTTTCAGAACTATTATGGATGCTCCATTTCTGAAATATCAAGATATTTGTCCTGGACAAGTTCTGGAAGTAAGTTCAATTACCAGACATTACTCTGTCTCAACCCTCTTTACAGTTTTAATCATTATGCAGTCATCCAACTTTTATCTAATTTTATTCAGCAAATGTTAATTATTTTTATATGTACACCCAAATCCTGAATTGTAGCATTGATATAATGTTACAGTTCAGTGGTGACCTTTAGCCATACATTAAAGATCAACACTTTTTCCCATTGGGAGAGTCCATTGTACTTAAAATCACACAATCATAGATATGGAAGGGACTATAAAAAAGGGCAATCTACTGCGACGCAATGCAATATATTGCTAAATCACTCCTGTTCGCTTTCCACTCTACTTAAAGATCCCCAACAAAGAAAGCTCCCAATTTCTCTAAAGCAGTCCAATTGTCTTCATTTATTCTGCAGTTTAATCTTTTATGTTCCAGCATTACAATACAGTCAGCTAGACCACAGCATTGTTTCTTGACCATTTTTCTTTGTGACCTTAGGGAACCGTATTGACTCTGAAGCCATTTGGCATGCATGTAAAGGTGACTGAGTACATCAAGGGACTAGTCCCTTGCTTGCATTTGGCAGATGTGCGTCTGAAACAACCAGAAAAGAAATACAGCGAGGGGGCTTCTGTCAAGTGCAGGGTAAGTTCTCCCCATAAGGAATAACGTAAACAGTTCTGTGCTCTTCCAATGATCTTTTTGTAAAAAAAACAAACATAGGTTGTTCTGAGGCCAGAGTACATTTCTTCTGACTCTGTCGTCTTTATGTGTTTTATGTGTTGTTGAAGGCTTTCATGGCTGGAATTACTGGGTTGCTGTAAGTTTTCCAGGCTGTATGGCCATGTTCCAGAAGCATTCTCTCCTGACATCTATGGCAGGCATCCTTAAAGGTTGTGAGGTTTTTTGGAAACTAGGCAAGTGAGGTTTATATATCTGTGGAATGTCCAGGGTGAGAACTCTTGTCTGCTGGAGGCAAGTATGACTGTTACAAATAGGCACCTTGATTAGCATGTAATGGCCTTGTAGCTTCAAAGCCTGGCTGATTGCTGTCTTGGGGATCCTTTGTTGGGAGGTGTTAGCTGGGCCTGATTTATATTCGTCTTGAATTCCTCTGTTTTTTCAGCGTTCCTCTTTATTTAGTGTCCTGATTTTAGAGTTTTTTTTAATACTGGTAGCCAGATTGTGTTCATTTTTATAGTTGTGATGCTCATTGTGTACCTGTGAGCAAGTTACTGTTTCCCAGTTTAATTAGTCACAGGATAGTTTGTGGGAATCCTTTGTGTTCTGCTCTGAAGTAGTAAGTGAAAGGATTAAATACAAATAATATAGATAAATCCTATTGATAACAATCCTTTCTACTTGTTTGTTATCAGTTCAGTACTTACTTGAACCTGTGCACTGTACTGTACTACAGAATGACTGCACTTAGCATACTACTGTTGGTTCAGAAAATCCACATTTAATTTACCCTATGTGCATGTGATACAATTGCTCTTCTCATTTTCTTAAAAGAATAATGGTTCACATAAAGTTATTTACCAGACTTAATCATAAAATAAAGAGCTTTATGTCTCATAGACAAGTTATCTTCAAAAACACCTTCCCCCTCGAAAGTGGTTGGTCATTAGTTTTATTGGAATTAGGAAGTGTTGGAGTCCTTCTGGATTAGGCATGGGCAAACTTTGGTCCTCCAGGTCTTTTGGACTTCAACTCCCACAATTCCTAACAGTCAATATGCTATTAATTGTGGGAGTTGAAGTCCAAAATACCTGGAGGGCCAAAGTTTACCCATGCCTACTCTAGATGATGCTGGGAGCATGGCTGTGCTCTTTGACCCCATTGGGGAGGGGCAGACCAATGGTATTTTTGACCATTTTCCCGGCATGGAAAGTTTTCAGCTTTGTACTCTAGTAACAGGTTTCCTCTTTCTTTCATTTTGGGATAAAAACAATTTTCATACTCAGTGTGTATTATTCTAATTTCTTTTCTTTCCAAGGTTCTTGTCTCCGACGCTGAAGCAAGGAAGATTGTGCTGACATTGAAAAAAACACTTGTCAATTCCAAACTCCCTATCCTGGCTAGTTATGAAGATGCTAAGCCAGGCCTGATCACTCATGGCTTTGTGGTTTGTGCAAGAGAGTTTGGCTGCATCGTGAAATTCTACAATGACATAAAAGGCCTGGTCCCTAAGAATGAGCTTGGCTTGCCACCCTTGACTCCTCCTGAGGAGGTTTTCTATGAAGGCCAGGTAAGCACTGAGTCAGATATGTACAAGAATGTTGTATATATTTGCAAAATATCCTTAAACACGTGGGAAATAATTAAGTTCTATAAAATAAAGTATATCTTCATTGCAGAACATTGTTCTTAAGTCTATAAAAGAGTATGTAATCACATGTTCCAAGTCTTTCTTTAAAAATACTATTTTAATAACTGTCTCAACCTACTAAAACTTGAAACTGTTGGAATTCAACCCTGCACTGTCCAGGTCTCAAGTCCTCAATGAGGAACAGTTTAAGTTAGGGAATTCCCTTCCCCCATGTCTCCTGAATGACAGTTGGGAGTGTATCTTTCTCTTTTCTCATCTCTGTTTCTCTTCTCTTTCTGATTGGTTGTTTTAAAATGGATATTTTTCTACTGCAAGCTTTTTGAATCTGACTCCACTTACACTTTATGGGGAGCATGTGCTGTGTGCTTTGAGATCTCTCTCTGCTTTTATGTCAGGAGAGATGTACTGATTGTGTTTTTCCCTCTCTTGAAACCTTAGAAGAAATGGGTGTTCCTGATTATTAAAAAACTAATCGTTCCCTGCCGTACGTTGCTTTGGCCCAGTCTGTGTATATGTGTTTTATGTGTGCATATATGTGTATGTGTGTGTATATATATATATTTGTGTATAAATGTGTGTTTGTGTATATATATGTGGTTTTCCACATGCGTTGTAATGTATTTTGTATTTTTTGGCTTTTTAAGTCTCATCCGCTGTGTTTTTAGTGCTTTTATGAGTGATGGTCACTTGTTGGCCTGATAGGTGTATTGTGTCCAAATTTGGTATCAATTCGTCCAGTGATTTTTGAGTTATGCTAATCCCACAAACTAACATTACATTTTGATTTATATAGATTTATTTATATAGATTGTAAATAAACCTTTTGTGATTTTTAAAGATTGGACTCTGCATGTTTGCTTCCTAAGCTCTGACTTCTTTACAGCTACATCACATGGCACTTCATGCTTTGTTCGCTAATGAGCTGATGCTCAACTTTTGTATCCTGTTTTGTTTTTGGATGCTCTGCTATATATTTTAGGGTAGTTTTCCCTAACATAAACCCCTTGCCCTAACAAATGTAGCCTTTACAGAGACACAAATTAAATTCAGTGTTGCAGAACGCTTAAATCATAAACCAGTGGTTCCCAACCTGTGGTCTGTGGATCACCATGGTCCCCAAGAACTGAAATATAATCCACGGCCTCACTGTTATGACACCATTGCACCTTGGCGTCTTTGTTTTTAGGCCTATTCCTGGGGTTATTTGAGGTGCTGATTCAGAAAATTGCACTGGATAGACCACATCAGCTCTAGATTATTAAGTATGGTTTTCTGTTGGTGAGAAGATGGCGACTACTGGATGGCATATGTTCTGTATCAGAGACTATAGCTGATGTGGTCTATTCAATGCAATTTTCTGAATCAGCACCTCAAATAACCAAACCAAATCTAAAGTTGACCAAAAACTGATTTGTTAACCCTTTTTTGGTATTAATGTTGGAGAGTGGTCCCTGATCAAGTGGTCTCTGGTCAAAGTGGTCCCTGGTTAAAAAAAAAAGTTGGGAACGACTGTCATAAACAGTAGAAAGAGGAGAAAGGTATAAATAGGGTAAAAGGAAATATAGAGTAAAAACAGAGATGATCAAAGTTAAGGAAGCTATCGCAAGATTCTTTCCTTTATAAATTCTCAAGATGGATCTACCCTTTAAATGTGGAGATGAATCTATGTGTTTGTTTTTGCTTTTTCATGCTTTCCCAACTAGGTGGTCAAAGCGATGGTCTTAAAATGTGACCGTGAACAGGAGAAAGTGCTCCTCTCATTTAATCTGACAGACAATCCTCTTGGTAAGACCAGTAAAGGTGAAAAGACTTCAAAGAAACAGGAAATAATATATGAAGATGCACAGGTAAATTTATTATAAAATATTCCCTTTTTTGTCCCTGCTGGAATTGTTCCTCTTAAGACGATGGGGTCTCTAAAATCTGATAAAATGTGGCAGTTAGGTTGGGATACTATTTGCAAGCATAACGTTTGCTTTTCTTTTTTGTGATTTCTCAATCAGGTTTTCAAAGTGATTGTGTTAAAATGTGAACCTGAACAGGAGAAAGCATTATGAACTTTGTAATTGGATACTTCTCACTCTGTTAGTGTCTTCTGGTGAACATTAAAAATTTCAGTCTTAGGGTTATACCTTAGTAATGAAATAATTGTTTCATCCACATGCAAAATTTAGTTCTTGTTCTGTAAATAGAGCTTGAAGTTCTTCTAACTTCAGCATTTTCTTCACATCTCAGTAATGTTAGCTTCTGTTTCCAAGAACATTGCATTTTGAGAAACTTCATTGTGATATTTTGTATTGTTAGATGATAGTGGAGAGGTATGGGAACAGTAATTGTAGGCTATGTACAGTCCTTGAATATTTAGTCCCAAGAAATTGCATACTGATCCTTCTGGAAGCTGCTATGAGGATAGCCATTAGGGTCTATTTTCAGAGCCTCTGAGACCCTTTTAGGCCTTGGAAGTAATTTTACACTTTCAAAGTGTCTTCTGTTGTTTTTTAAATACAATTTCGCTGGAATTCAATGAGAGTTATGTAGTCTTCTGTCTCCTGGAAGTTGCCCAACCCTGTGATAATATTTGAAACCTTTCCTCATCGTTGTATTCTTAGGTTGCTGATGTGAAAATTTTGAAAAAGAAAGATGATGGCTTAGATATTACAATCTTGCCAAACAACATTTCTGCCTATCTTCCCATGATGCATCTCTCTGACTACGTGTCCCATAGCAAACTCTGGAATTATTGGCTCAAAGAAGATGATCTTCTGCGTAGTGTTGTGTGCCTGCATAGCAAGGGACGTCATCTTGTATCCTTTTTTCCGACCTTTGGTTAGCCCATTTGTCTTTGTAATTTGTACCATGGTCTTAATTTTTCGTATATTGCACACATTTCTTCTTTAGGCTACCAATTTAGCTGCTCATCATGCCTTGTCAAATTCTCTCAGTGTTAATTGTATGGCTTTAGGATTGCATCATGCCCAGTTTGTAGGCTGTGAGGACTGAAATCATCTTCCCCATTTCACTCCCTGCTCCAAACACTTCAATCTGGGGATGTTTCACCTATGACTTTCAGTTGTTAGCTTGATTCCCTTCATAGTTCTGGGTTATCAAGTGTTAACCCCATGCAAGAATCATCTGCAATAGTGGAGCTTATTCCCTTGTAAGTGGTTCATCAGTTGAAACCCCAAGAGCTGAGAGAATGAAGTGATTATCACAAGCATTTGCAAACCAGGTCTACTTCCTCAGAAGAGAAAGAGGTCAGGTTAAAAATAAACATTATTATTATTATTATTATTATTATTATTATTATTATTATATACACAAGATTAGTACACAGCAAACAAGAGCACTATGTTGACTTTTGTATTGGATCACATGTTGGACACTTCCCAAGTGTCCAGAACTATGTGATGTATTGGTGGATAATGCATGCAGATCCAAGTAGGGTGACCTTTTGCAGTGGACAGATGGTAATTTTGTCAGTGCCGATTGTTTTCAAGTGCTGGCCAAGGTCTTTCTGCATAGTGTTGTTGTTGCTGTTCTTGATGTTATTATTATATTGTCAACTTCATTCTGTCAGTTCTCTCTAATGTGCTACAAGACACCTTTACATACAGATATTCCAGACAAACATGGCTGCCCCTTTGAGTGTTTATGTAAATCCTATGGCTCATAGACTAAATTTCTTTGGTAAAAGTAGAATTGATCAGTGTCTTTCCTAACACAGTGACCTCTCTGCTAATTAGGAATGAATGGAGCCCGGTTGCTAAAATGATGAAGATGATGATTTATCATGTCAGAAGTGAATTGAGTTTACAGTTACAATGTATTTAAAATCACACAAACAAAGTGGAAAACTTGGCATTATGCTAAATGTCCTTTGACTAGAAACTGGCCACTTGGAGTGACTCTGGTGTCACTGGTTCTCCGTTGTACATGTGGCAGGGCTCAGATTGCATTGTAGTAGGTGGTATGTGATTTGCTCTTCACATTTGCATGTCATGGATCCCACTGTGTAGTCCCATTTCTTAAGGTGGTTCTGCATCTCATGGTGCCAGAGCACAACCTGTTCAACACCCTCCAGGTCATACAATTGTATGTGTTTTTATGGTTGGAAACCGATCTGAGTCCCTCAAAGAGGTGAGAAGGTCAGTATATAAAACTTTGAAATAAAATAAATAAATAATAACAATCTTCTGTGTGCCCAGGAAGGAGTTTCTCATTTGGTATCAACCACTGATTGAGGTTCTGGGTTTTTGCCTACCACTTTTGGACTTGCAGCATGATGATGATGATGATGGTTCTTCTTTTTCCCTTTCCTTTACCCTTCTCCCTCCCTTCCCTTCTGATTGGAAACTAAATAAATGTTGATTTGGTCTTGTGGCCTATGTGCCATTGATACCTAAACTGATTATTTCTCATATTGATAAGTTTTAGTGGGGTGTCTGTCTCCCAGTGGCCAAGAGCAAGAAATCTTAAAATCTCCCCCTTTTATTGATTTATTCCTTGACTCAATGTTTTAGACACTAAGTAGAAAGCCAGCGCTGGTTTTGGCTGCACAGGAGGAACATGCAGTGAAGAACTTCTCTGACCTTGAGCCTGGATTGCTGCTGACTGGCTTTGTGAAAAACATAATGCCTTATGGTGTTTTTGTGGAATTTCCATATGGTTTGACAGGAATGGCTCCCAAGTCGGTAAGACACAGTGCTCTGTCTATGGCAAAACCTCCTTTACTCAGAGATATTCAAAAAGTATTTTTGAAACTTTTCTGCTGTGTTTTCCCTCAAGACCCAAAATCATCAATTGGATTGACTTTTCTAGTGTATAAAAGGAGTGAGAGCATTTCCTATGTTCTGTGTATATTGTTTTTATATGCTTTGATGTTTTATATCTTAATGTTATGTTGTTTATTTTATTGCATTTTGTATTGTTATATTGTATTCTTGTTCGGGCTTGGCCCCATGTAAGCCGCTCCAAGTCCCCTTTGGGGAGATGATGGCTGGGTACAAATAAAGTTTATTATTATTATTATTATTATTCATTGAACAGTATGCTTTTAAACATATGTTGCAAAGTAAATTTGAGATAAGATTGTTCTTGGTTGTGTGTATTCTTGATTTTTAAATATGTCAGTAGTAAGTTCACACATATGCCCAAAAGAATTGTACAGTTCTTTAAATTACTATACTTTAAGAAAGGGGGGAAATCTCTATTTCATGAATTTCCTGCTGAATAATGGAAAGCAAGGGAAAACCCGCAGAAAGAGGGAATGTGTAAAACAATTCTGGGCATCGGTTGTCTATTCCACGCAAGAAAGGGTTTGCTTATAAGGTAGTGTTTTGAAATATATTCTTTTCCTTTGGAGTTATTCAAACTGATGTGGCATACTAAGGGAGAATATTTAAATAGTTCTTTTCTTAATCACCACAGGCAATGAGTGACAAGTTTGTGACAGACACCAAAGATCATTTTGTGATAGGCCAGACTGTGATTGCCAAAGTGACCAGCATTGATGAAGAGAAGCAGCGCATCCTGCTGTCCCTGAAATTGTCTGATTGCTCCTCTGAGGATTCTGTTTCACAGAGCTTCTCCTTGCTGCAGCAGTACTTTAAGGAGCTGCAGGAAATCAAAAGCATCATGAAGAAAAGAGGTTAGAAAATCTGGGGATATGAAATACAGCACATGGACTGGAACATTTATTTTTAGAGAGGGCTGCATTTGAAAAACCTGATTTTGGAGCAAAACCAGTGAGCACTTTCTCACAAAAACAAGGAAGCTTCTGTTTTTATCTTAAAAAAGAAAAGTTGTGATATATAGTATTCCACTTTGGGTTAAACTTGTTGTTATTCATGGTGACTTATGTATATGCAAAGGGATCTTGTGGTTCCTTCAAGACTTAGAGAATGAAGTTAGTGGCATAAGTTTTTGTAGGCCAAGTTTACTTCCTCAGATGCTTATTGTTGTTTGCTTATGAAATACGCACAAAGAAGGTAATATTCAAAAGTCAGTTGTATCATATTTCATTCAAAATAAGAGAACCCACTGATTTGAATATATATTTTTTAAAATCAGAATTACTCACAGAGATTAATACTAGAGATTTAAAATGAAAATAAAATTTACTTCTGCTTGTCCTCAGATGATTCAAATGTGGCCCAGAGACTCTATGAAATAAAACCGGCACAGAAACTGCAGTTGGTTGTTCACAAAGTCGAAACAGATGGTTCGGCAGTCTTCAAGGACACTTGTGTCGCTGGATTAACTGTCATAGCTGTTCATAGCCATCTTGGAGGTAGGTTGCATCTCTTGGCCTGTCTTTCTTGCCTCTTGTTGCACACTCTGCTCTAACCTGTTTCTAAGATTATAAACCACTTATGGCAGTGGATGGACCCTTTCTCTGTAATGCAGATTATGTGTGTCTATATATGAAAGAGCCCCATGGTGGCGCAGTGCGTTAATCTGCTGAGCATCTGAACTTGCTGACCAAAAGGTTGGTGGTTTGAATTAGGGAAGTGGGGTGAGCTCCTGCTGTTAGGCCCAGCTTCTGCCAACCTAGCTGTTCGAAAACATGCAAATGTGAGTAGATCAATAGGTACCACTTCTGTGGGAAGGTAACGGTGCTCCATGCAGTTATGCCACATGACCTTGGAGATGTCTACGGACAATGCCGGCTCTTCGGCTTAGAAGTGAAGATGAGTACCACCCCCCAGAGTTGGACTCAACTAGACTTAATGACAAGGGGAGGCCTATACATGAATGACAGGGAAGGAAAAATTCTTGTTTTTTAGAATAGCTTATCTGGTTCTTTGTTTGTGTTTGTTTGTTATACTGGCATCAGGTAAATGTCTTGTGTTTTTTTTAAAGGCAAAAATGTAGTGGTGGGTGAAAAAGCAGAAGCTGTGGTTCTGTACATTGATTATCTGAAAGCAAAGATCTACGTGTCTCTTCGAGAGGAGCTGCTGTCCTCCAAGCCCAAAAAGGTATGATGAGCTCCTCATTGCTAAGAGAAACACATGCTCATTTGTTTCACATCAGACTCACAGAAAGGACATCCATAACTTCTTTAGAATTGAGATACATATAAAAATACATACTGGAATGCCTATAAGGGCATGTGAAAGCTATCTTTCAGTGGAACAATTTTTCCCTTCTTCTGTAGAGAAGGAAAAGGAAGAGATGGTTTAAGCTGAAACATGCTTTTTCACTCAGGAAAACTGATCACCTATGAGAACAAATGTCAAAGGTACATTGTTGGGAATATCCCAGTACTTTCCTATAAACACTTAAAGCTTTTAATACCGCTGTTTAGAATTCTGGGAAGGATGTGGGTTTTAAAAGTTGAAACAACTGCTGTATCCTGGAGAGTTCCAATCATTTCACAGTCTTTCCCATGAAACTTATAGAATGTCCATTGTTCTTTGCATCTTTAAGTTTGTGATTTACAGTGACTCTATGCTATGGTCTCCTTGGCAAAAATTTATTCAGCCATTTGCCATTGCCCTCTTCTTAGGCTGAGAAAGTGTGGCTTACTTAAGCTCACAGAGTGAGTTTTCATAACTTAGCAGGACTTTGGAACCTGTCCAACCAGAGCCTAGTCCAACCTTTGAACCACTGCAATTATAGAAAAATGCTGCTTGTGCTGGAACTGCAATAAGTTAGGTCGACTCACTCAAAACTTAAGAGTAGCCATTTTTATGTTAGTTTTATGAAGGTAGAGTTTAAGAAAACCCTTCCTGGTTTGTGTCAGCTATTTTGTCTGCTCCTTTTTCTGAGGAAAGGGAGCCATTTTAGATCATAGACCACCAGGGAATCCTGGAAGCAAGATATGTCTGCAGTTGGTTTCAAGTCAATTTTACCAACCAATAATTAGTTAACCAATAACTAATTAACACCTTGGGCATTGGGCGCCTCAGAGGCCCCTATACCAGAGACTGAGAGCAAGGAAATGTGTCATCTGTTCTCCTCAGAAACATCCATGTCTGGCAGTTCAGGAACAATCAGTTTCCTTTCAAATTTTAAATATGGACTTTGTTGTGGGAAAATCAAGTTAGTGCCTGGGTGGAGATAGACCCTAGACCAGTTAATAAATCATTACTATTTCCTCAAAACAACAGCATGGACATTGATTCTGTGGGGTTCCTTTCTCAAACAGAAGGCAATCCAGCATCCCCCAAGCTGACAGGAAGTAAGAACATGTTAATGCTAAAGAGACGTTTAAAGCAGCTTGAGTATGACAGTACACAACTACAATATTTGTTAGGACAGCTGATTTATGCCATTGGATAAATATATGCACATGACTATGCCAAATATTTGTTTGCTGTAGCTCTCTCAGTGTTTTTTCTCTGTGTTTCAGTTTACCTTAGACTCTCAATATGAGGCCATTGTACAACATGTGGCAACAGAGTATGCAGTTGCTTCACTGATAGGAACAGGACAACTGATTGCTATCCCTGTGGCTTCACACTTCAATGACACATTCCGGTTTGATTCTGAAAAACTGAAGATGGGGCAGTCTGTCATGGTGGTTCTGAAAATGGTAGAGAGAGATGACTATGGACTCTTGCTTGCTGTGCAAGCCTCGGGGAAGAGAAAGACTGTAATCCGGTCAAGGCATGATTCAGAGGCACTAGAAGAAACCTGGCCCACAGTGAAGCACTCACTGTGCGTGGGTGACATGGTCAAAGGAACTGTGAAGTCTGTCAAGCCCACCCATGTCCTGGTGGCAATTGATGACCACCTGATGGGCTCCATTCATGCTTCCCAGATTGTGGATGATGTTTCCGAAGGTACCTTCCCAACATCCATGCTGAAGGTTGGGCAGAAAGTGACTGCCCGGGTCATTGGAGGCAGAGAAATTAGAACTCACAGGTGAGAGAAATGTTTCTAGTTTAGGAGTGTGTCTTTTCTTGCGTCCATAGACTTATTATTTCTGAAACTTTCCACATGTGTCCAAAGTCCAGGCATATCATACTTTAGTTGCTTATAATTTCATTTAGATTTATCAGTCCTACTTCAAATAACAGGAAACATAGATGGTCTGATCTCTGCTTCCCCCATAAATGCCTGTTTCCTTGTAGAGCAGATACAGAGGTAAAATGGATTTTTCATTGATGTAGAAGGGTATCTAGAATAGGGCATCTTTCCCATTTACTCACTGGCAATGCTTATGAAGGTTAGGTAAGCTGTGTGACATCTGTGAGGGTCACAGATGTGAAAAAGCAGAAGGCGAGAGAGAATAGAAACCTGTTCAATACTTAGGGCCCAACAAAATGCAAGTAATATTTTCATACCATCTATACTGGGGGTCCTGTGGATTCTTCAGTTGTTGAATTCTTAATTCCCATCAGGGGTGAAAGTTGATGGGAATAGCAGTTCTTTAAGATTTGATGGATCACAAGTTCCTCACCTCTTATTTAGATGAATGGGATATGAGTGAGTTCTTTATTTTTAAAATTGCTTTTTTTCTCTTTAATAAATATTGTTGTCACATTTGTAGATACATCCTGAATCATAAAGACTTAAAACAAACAGAAGAGGAATAAAGAAATTTGAAATGTTTCTATTTCAGTATCGGCATAAAGTCTATAGTTTCAGAGGCACAGTTGATTACTATATTTGAGAGAACTTGGGATTGAATATACTCAGTTTCTTGAGAAACAGACCTCACATAACTGAACTGAGTTATCCCCATTCCAGAAAAGAGTGGTGCTATCCAAGAATGTAGGATGTTGAGTCGTTGCCTAATGTGATGTGCTTTCTCCCTTTCTTTGGAATGAAGGGGTAGAGAGAGAACCTCAACAGGAATAAAATACTTATTGGACTATTGAATGATGATCTGTTAGGATCATAAACTATTGGGTAACAGAGTTTCAGGAGTGTTCCTTTAGTTTATTGGGTAATGGAAGATCACTGGGCACGTAAATATCTTGTTTCTGTTCAAGGCTCTCAACAGACAAAGATTCAAGTAGACTTCTTTAAAATAACATGTTAGTTTTACTTCATGTATTTACAGGTACATTTCTTGTCAGGTTAAACTTTAAAACGTTTCAGTTTGTATCTTAATCTTATAGTCTTTAACAGTCTCTTCAAAACTATATTGCTCTGTACATCTCTCTTTCATAGCAGTCTGCTTCCAAGAGATTCAAGCCTGATTTCTAACTTATAACACTGGCTTCTGTACTCAAACAGACTCAAGCATCAACTGCCATTCCTCAAATGTCATCCTTTTTAAACTGCATTCTAAACAGTCACTGAACCAGTCACATGGTCTGCAACCCCTCCCACTGCCTCAAGTACCGTATATTCCGGGGTACAAGACGACTTTCTAAGCCAGGAAAATCATCTCAAAAGTGGGGAGTCATCTTGTACCCCGGTATAAAATTTTTGGCATCATTTTTCCCTCGTCTCCCTCGCCCTTGGCGTCCCCGCGTGGTGGAGCCTGAGGAGGGGGGGGCGGAGGGGGGAGGCAGGGAGGGGGCGAGGAGGAGCACCGGCAGGCTTCGCTACCAAGCTGGCAGCATGGTAGCCTACTGGGCTGTTTTCACCCTCGCCGGCATTGACTTGGCTCCGCCTCCGGCCTCTAATCCCAGAACAGCTGCTGCAGGAGCCAAAGCCGGAGGGGCGGGGGCAGGGCCTCTGGCTGCTCCGCCCCGCCCCTGCGGAGGGTCCCGCCCCCGGTCCCGCCCCCCTGCGGAGGCTTCAACTCCTGCTGCTTTACCAGGACGGCGGGGGTTGCTTGCATGCTGTGCTGTCCCCTCCGCCACTGGTCTGCTGCTAGCTCCGCCTCTGGCCTCAAAGCCAGAGCAACTGCCGAGGGAACCAAACCCAGAGCAGGGAGGCAGTGGGAGAAGAGGACCCCGCCCCTCGCGGCCCCGCCCACGCTCCGGTTTTGGTTCCCTCGGCAATTGCTCTGAACTTGAGGCCAGAGGCGGAGGTAGCAGCAGACCAGTGGCGGAGGGGACAGCACAGCATGCAAACACCCCCGCCGGCCTGGAAAAGCAGCAGGAGCTGAAGCCTCCGCAGGGGGGTGGGACCGGGGGGCGGGGCCCTCTGCGGGGGCGGGGCGGAGCAGCCAGAGGCCCCGCCCCCGCCCCTCGGGCTTTGGCTCCCTCCTGCAGCAGCTGTTCTGAGATGGAGGCCGGAGGCGGAGCCAAGTCAATGCCTGCGAGGATGAAGACAGCCCAGTAGGCTACCACTCTGCCTGCCGCTCCTCCTCCTAGCCCCCTCCCTCCCTCCCCCTCCCTCCCTATGACTTCCTCTCACATATTTATACCCAGCTCTTTAAGCCACCCCTCATAGGGCTTGTCCTCCAGACCCTTGATCTGCTCTCTCCTCCCTATGACTTCCTCTCATATATTTATACATGGCTCTCATCATGTCTCCTCTCAGCCTTCTCTTCTTCAGGCTAAACATACCCAGCTCTTTAAGCCACTCCTCATAGGGCTTGTCCTCCAGACCCTTGATCTGCTCTCTCCTCCCTATGACTTCCTCTCACATATTTATACATGGCTCTCATCATGTCTCCTCTCAGCCTTCTCTTCTTCAGGCTAAACATGCCCAGCTCTTTAAGCCACTCCTCATAGGGCTTGTTCTCCAGACCCTTGATCTGCTCTCTCCTCCCTATGACTTCCTCTCACATATTTATACATGGCTCTCCTCATGTCTCCTCTCAGCCTTCTCTTCTTCAGACTAAACATACCCAGCTCTTTAAGCCGCACTCCTCATAGGGCTTGTTCTCCAGACCCTTGATCTGCTCTCTCCTCCCTATGACTTCCTCTCACATATTTATACATGGCTATCATATCTCCTCTCAGCCTTCTCTTCTTCAGGCTAAACATGCCCAGCTCCTTAAGCCGCTCCTCATAGGGCTTGTTCTCCAGACCCTTGATCATTTTAGTCACCCTCCTCTGGACACATTCCAGCTTGTCAACATCTCCCTTCAGTTGTGGTGCCCAGAATTGGACACAATGTAATTCCAGGTTTGGTCTAACCAGAGCAGAATAGAGCATGGGGAGCATGACTTCCCTGGATCTAGACGCTATGCTCGTATTGATGCAGGCCAAAATCCTCTTGGGTTTTTTTTTTGTTTTTTTTTTTTTGCCACCGCATGACATTCCTGGCTCATGTTTAACTTGTTGTCCACAAGGACCCCAAGATCTTTTTCACACATACCGCTCTCGAGCCACGTGTCCCCCAACCTGTATCTTTGCATTTCGTTTTTGACAGAAGTCAAACTGGAAAGCTCTTATTGACCCAGGGTCCCCATTCCTCTTTTCTGATCTCTTTTCCCCTTCTACCAATTAAACATCACCTGGCTGTGTTCTTGAGAAACTCTAAAACAATTCAAGCTGTCACGGTGATTTAAGGATGAAGACATGTCAAGATGTGACCAAGTAAACATGTGCCATGCCAAATTCTACATTTCTGAAGGATTAGGGTCCAATCTGCCCCTCTCTTCTGATAGGAGGTCCTGATTTATAAAGACTGCTTATAGATAAAAATTCTCCAAATGCTTTGCCTTCACCTCAGTACTCATTGTACAAAGCCTGACTTCTATTTGCATGCAAGCTTCTATGCCAACATAAATGTAATCTGAACCATTTAAAGCCTGCTTTCATACTTGCCAGCATGATGTAAAGGACCCAGAGTGTAAATGAAATTCAAGGGAGGAAGAACAACTATAATGTCCAATGTAAGGTACAATGTCCCTCTCATAGGAACCTGCATGTCATAAGCATTTGAATTAAAATTACCATATTGAATTCAAATCTGATTTTTTTTAAAAAATATTTGGTGTGCATTGGAAGAGGGGTGGTCTTATACGGCGAGTATATCCCAAACTCTATATTTTAACTGGAAAAGTTGGGGGTCGTCTTATACGCCCAGTCGTCTTATATGCCGGAATATACGCTATATAGAGCTAAGAAAACAGCAAACCAAAGAAGATATACACTTCAGGAAATAAACACCACATTGTAAACAGACAAAACAAAAAATAGAGGAGCCTTGAGAAGGTTGCTATCTCCAACATACTATAGCATCCCCTGCTTCAGGCAACAGTTACCACTTCTAAGAGTTGCTATAATGGAAACATTTAGATGTTTTGTAATCACTGGAAAAGCTGTTTATTTTTTATATTTGCTTAGTATTCTGCTGATGTAAAAGAGGGATATGTTGTATCTTTTAAGGTTAGCTAGGGGAAAGGGACATTCTGATCTGTTCTCAGTTTTCTAATCTGGGTGTTAATCTATTGTTATCTTTCAGATATTTGCCTATCACTCATCCCCACTTCACCCATACATGGCCAGAGCTCAGTGTCCGGCCAAGGTAAGAAAGCCTTTAATAAGTGTATTGAGTTGAAAACTTAAAACATGTCAAATGTATTTCAGCCAGCTGGACAACTCTTGTCTTGAATGCTAAGAACAGAACAGAAAACCTGCACCTAAAGTTCATCATCACTGAATCTGTGAGAGGGGAACATATTAGACACATATATATACAATTTCAGTTTTGGATGCTAAATGTCCTAAGCTATAAAATTACCTGGCAGGTGCTGGGATTTTTTTTATATTTAAAAGGGGACATCAGATATTATAGAAAAAGTAAATATTGGATTAACTTCCAAATTTGAGGCTGGAAATGTTGGTAGGGGAAAGGATAGGGTCTCATCTAAGTCTTCCTATCTTATCTATAGTTGCAGGAACCTCGATATGTCTGGTGCTAAATATTCTACAGTCATTGCTCAGTTCATTGGAACTTATGTCTCCTTCCATAGACACAACAATTAAGCCTTTCTTATTTTTTCTATCCTTTCTCAGCCTTTCCTTTTGCTCTGGGGACAGTGGGTTGCAAAATGTTTTTGGGGAGGGCGCAAGAAGGAAGAGTTGGCAGAAATTCCCCTTCTGTGCATTAACTGTGGAGCAACTTAGAATCCAAGCCATTCACGGGTTTCTGGCACATACAATGATTCCAGTCTGAACAACCCTTTGTAAATAACTAATCTTTCTTATTCTACTAAAAAAAATGAGTGGGTCTTGGTCAGTTCACTTCTCTGTGTTCCTGTGCTGTGGATCTTGCTTTCTGCTGCTGCAATTCTTGACTCTGAACTACTTTCTCAATTGAAAGTGTATATCACTGTGAGTCTTCTTTGGAAGAGAAACTACTTTCTCAATTGAAAGTGTATATCACTGTGAGTCTTCTTTGGAAGAGAAAAAGCATGATGATAATTTAAAAAGAAGAAGGCATGAGTAGAGATAGCATATTTTAAGCAAACAGCTGGCGAGAATTAGAATGCTACAATACAATCCCTAGAGGCATAATTGCTTTGCTTTCTCTTGTGATCAGTGAGCTAAAAGGAGAAAGCAAAACAGTCCTGGGCCCTGAAGATGACAAATCAGAAGATATGTTGAAACACTTCAAGCCTGGGCAGACAGTGACTTGCTTTGTCAAGAAGGTAAGCATTAAGATTTTCAATGCAGATAATGTTTTTTTAAAAACACTGAGCCTGTTACTACCATAGATTCAGAAACAATGAAATCCTTCAGAATACAATGGCCGAACTTATGAAATTATGCCTTTTGGAATGTGGCCTCCAAAATAATTATGATAGTGGTTGAGGTTTCTTCTTGGGAGGCACTCTTCTAGCCTATACGTTACAGGTTCTTTTTATGAATGGTAGGGTGGGAGGATGATGGAGAAATATCTTGTTGTTTTTCTTAGAACTGCACACACACTGTCTTTTTAAACTGAATATGGAAATGTTTTGTTTTCTCTCCTGTGGTTTCTTTTCATAGTACAATACTGAGAAGAAATGGCTAGAGGTGGAAGTCACCCCTGACATCAGAGGGAGAATCCATGAACTACTGCTTTCCCTGAAGCCTAAGGTAAACAGTTGTCAAGAAATGAAGACCAGGGGGCTTTTATACATGGGAGGCTAAATTCAGGAACGTTAAACATGGCCTAAAGCAAGAGTTTGAAAAATGGGGCTTGTGGGACTCATGCAGCTCAAAAGTTCTCATTCAGCCCCCAAGTCTTCCTGGGGTCTTCTTGGATCAAAGTTGATGTCAAATTTTAGTAGTGTGGTCTCCCCATTGCAATGTAAATGCTATATAAAAGTTGTCTGGGCCTGAGGAGGAGGCCTGGGATAAGATAAAGACACTGTGGGCCAGGGCTGGAAAAGAAAGATGGCAGTAGTATAAGTTTGGTGCTGCAAAAGAGCCCTCCACCACTGTATATACACAATTGAGTGAAAAGGAAAATGTCCCCATTACTTTTCCTGCCATAGAGACATAATCCCATTGAAATGTTAGGAGTGTGTCCTTGTAGTGATTTTGAGGGTGAAAGCTGTATTAGTCTGTTGAAACTTGTACCGTGTTAAAGAGAAACAGAACATGTTGCAGGAGCGTTTATGACCTCTATTTTATTAGACTTAACAAATACCACATAATTCCTTTCCTTGTTTGTTTTTTTTTTTGTTCTGATTATGTCCATGTCTTGTATGTATTCCATATTTGTGTAAAACATTTATCTCTTCAATCGTTTGCTTTGTAATAGGAAGACCGGGATTGTGGCGCAGCTGGCTAAGTGTCAGCTGCATTAAGATCACTCTGACCAAAAGGTCATGAGTTCGAAGCCAGCCCGGGTTGGAGTGGGTTTCCAACCAATTGTGTAGCCTGTTGTCAACCTTTGCAACCCGAAAAACAGTTGCATCTGTCAAGTAGGAAAATTAGGTACCACCTTAAAAGTGTGGGGAGGCTAAATTAACTAATTTATGAGGCCATAAAAAAGACTCCAGCAAAGCACTCCAGCAAAAAAGCATGCAAGGAATGCGGAAGTACTTCATCAGTGTCGCAGATGGACGATGAAAGCGACAGCTCCCCTGGCAGCCAGAAAAAGTTAAATAGCCTCTGTGTATGTCTGTATATGTTATATGTTAAAATTGGCATTGAATGTTTGCCATATATGTGTACACTGTAATCCGCCCTGAGTCCCCTGCGTGGTGAGAAGGGCGGAATATAAATGCTGTAAATAAATAAATAAATAAGACCTTTAGCATGTAAAGGTGGGAGAAACAACAATTAGACACACACTGAGCTTGCTTTTTTAGTCAGATTTTGATTGCAAGTATGAAGAAAACTTTAGAGCTACTCTCTAATTCTACAAATAGGGACAGAATTAAAAGTTCTAACTATTACAGATTTCTTTTACAAAAATTGTGAGTTCAAGCACTACCAAAAGGTGTCCCAAATGCCCAATTTTTGTCGATCTTACATATTCTATGAGTTATTCTTGTTTGCAGACACAACACACGATGAACCAATCCCCTTTTACTGGTAATATCAGGTCTCTCTCTCTCATCAGATCTTAAAGAAACCAGGGAATTTCTTCAAGAATGGGCAGGCTTTGATTGCAACCGTGACGGGTTGTGATACCACTGGGACCAAAGTATATCTGTCACTATCAGGTATGATGAAAAGAAAAGCCTACTATATTAAAATATTGGAAAGGGAAGTGCCAATGTCTGTGTACTGCAGTTTTGTATTTGTCATTAGGGTCCTGAAAACATGTGGGTGTATATACATTTATTCAAAGTATTTTGCATCATTTCCCAGCCCTCACTGGCATTCCTGGCTCAGTTCATATGCCAGCAAAAGTGAATGGATATGTCACTGATGCTTCCTTTAAAGGCTGAAGCAAACTTAAAGGGCATCTGCCAATAAAGTAGTTGTTATTTTGTTATTTGTCATAGTTTTGGAGACATAAATTTTGTTTCTGGACAGTGGTACAGTCAGTGCTTAGCACCAAATAATGATGTAGTGCTGTCTGCACAATCAATCAGAGGAGGACTCAGGCTTGCACTCCCTCTTCTAGATGCTATTTGTCAGAGATGAGGACACTGGTAGTATTTTGTTTTGATTGCATGAGTTATTGGTTTCTTGAATAACCAACAAGCCAGATGTTATGGATTATAAAGTTACCTTGTTAAGGTAACCACAGTTTGTTGTTTGGCATCATCTCTGGTATGTGCCCAACAACAAGACAAGATTCTGTGAAATTGAGACTATATGTTGCCAATTTGATTGTGTGGAGGCTGGAATTGTATATGAATAGAAGGCTTGCAGAAGCATCTTCTGGCTTGTGCAGAAATAATCAAACCATGATTTAATGGGATTCACAAAACAAGTACAATGTCATTATAATCCACTTATCTGGTGGTAAACCATGTTGAATTCTGTGGAATTATTTTCTTTACGTATAGAATGGGTTTCATGTATTCTTTCTGCTATTGAGTTCAAAAGTGGATCAAGTGTAGTCCCCCAAGTTGTTTTTTTTTTCTGGCCAAGAAAGGGAACAAATTGCCCTCTTGGAAAACTCCAAGAGAGGACATTTATTTTTAAATGCAATGAAGATGGCTTTGGAGGGACCCAGTAAGAAAAAATTGGCCCCAGCTTTGTCACAGTTGCCTATCCCAAATATCATCTCTTTCTTTACATCAGAGTTTCTCAAACTGTGCTCCTCCTGATGATTTGTTTTGAACTTCAGCTTCCACAATTCCAAACAGTTGGTAAGCTGGCTGAGATTTCTGGGAACTGAATTCCAAAACACCTGGAGGAGCACAGATTGAGAAACACTGCTCTACATCAATACAAAAGGAGTTCTAATGCCATACTCTAATCTGGACGAATTTTATGTATGTGGCTAATGTATGAGATGGGAATTTTAGTATAAAAATAACTACAGAGACATAGATGAAATCAAGTACACTACTCGTATGTATGCCATGGTATGTGTAGGGGTATTTGAAGTTGGGATCTTCACCCCCTAGGATTAGCAGGCTGCATTTGCTGGTTAATGATAAAAGATTTGCATCAGCTGCATTGGTCTTTGTGTCACAGGAAGACCAGCAGGGAATCCCACTTGCAGGGGGACCGGGTAGGCCTATAGAGGTTGCAAAGGCCACAGTGAAGAGCCTAGTCTGGCATTAAATTCCCCCAACAGAATAATGGGTGGAGGAGTGAGATGTCTAGAATCATGGATTCTAACCCAAATTTCAGGTCTGTGGTATGGGGGGGGGGGGGGGGGGGGGGGGGGGGGTGAGAGGTGGAATATGCACATTATAAGATCACTATTCCTGTAACTGAACCTTACAGCCAGAACTTAAACTACATTGGTTTCAATCTGGCAAATACCTCTATATTTGTATTTTATTTTAAGAAGACTAGATGTATGGTATATGTTGTGTTTGCACTGTCTGTTTTTGATAAGGCCAACTGACTAATTAATGAAATTAATAAAATTGATTGGTTCGGTTTGGTATAAAAAATAACTAATTCATTATTCAACTGCTGTCTTCCAGTAATAACTCCCAAACAGTCAGAAAAAGTTGTTGAAAAGTGCTTGCTTGCTTTTGACAGTTTTCAACTATGTATTCATGAAGGTTCAAAATCCAACTCATTTAACATTCAAGCATCTTGACATCTAGTGTGGCCAATAATGTCTAATAATTTCTTTTGAATCTCCTTACAACAGGCGCTTACTCTCTAGAGAAAGGAACCATCACACTAGGCTGCATAAAGAGTGTGATTCCACATGTTGGCCTGCAAGTTACGCTTCCATTTGGAAGGATTGGCAAAGTTAGCCTTTTTCATCTCAGTGACTCATATACTGAACAGCCACTAGAAGACTTCAGCGCTGGAAAGATCGTCAGGTAATAGCTTTCTGCAAAAACAAACAACCAAAAAACAAAAGCAATTTTTTTGAAAGTAGGGAAAATTTCATTTAAAAAGGATATCTTGTCAGAATAACATGCACTTGTATGTGCACTCAGTCTGACAGAACATTTCAGGGCAATTGCAAATGTTGAAGAAGTCTACATTTTAACTTCTGATATATTTGTGTGTGTGTGACAGGAGCCTTCAGGTTCCCATCCTGTCTATAAATTATTTCTTTTCTTAAACTTTTGAACTTTATTCCCAAATGAATTCAAAACTATTTCTTATTTTTCTTTTAATAAATTGCATTCCAAATGAATTTAGGTCCAGGAAAGTCCAAAAGAGACTTGATATAAGTTAAGTCAAAAATCAAGAGTAGAGAAGGTGCATATTGTTTGAAGAAGGGAGAAGCAGTAAAGAATAGAACAATAAAACAACCACCTACAAGGCATTTGCCTCCAAAGAGGGACTTTAAAACTATTTTACTGCCTTCTGGAATCACAATAAAGAAGGGGAGGGAATGCTAAAGCCAAGATGAAGCCACAGTAAAACCCACCTGCCTGGTCCTGACCACGTTTTGCATTGCTTGGTTACATAGGAAGGCCTCTCAGATCGGTCTCAGTAGCTCACAGGAGCCTATGGGTGGAAGTTATCCTTCACATGCACCCTTTCTGTATCATTCAGACTTTATGAGTCACAAACAGCATGTTGATTTGTGCTTGGAAGTAAGAACCATACAACAGTTTAAATAAGGGACTCATATGTTTTCTATATATAGCTTAAATAACAATCTGCCAAATTTTGGGCCAAAGAAAGGCCTATATAGAGTCCATTCCAGCATTCCAGACATGAGATAACCAAAATATTTATAACCTAATAGGGATATTATCTGTAAAGGATGGTCTACAAAAGTCCCATGTTTTCTTTTCCCCACATACAGATGTTATGTCCTTTCAGATGAAGATAAAAAAATTAAAGTGTCTCTCCGGCAATCCAGGTAAGGAACAGCTCTTTGAATATAGACTACAGATTATATATAGACTACAGATATATATATATATATATATATATATATATATATATGGAATACACACACACACACACCAACGGCGCTCCATGCAGTCATGCCGGCCACATCACTTTGGAGGTGTCTACGGACAACGCTGGCTCTACGGCTTAGAAATGGAGATGAGCACCACATCCCAGAGTCAGACATGACTGGACTTAATGTCAGGGGACTACCTTTACCTTTTATGTGACACCTTATTGTTTAAATAATCAAAATTAACATAAATTGTCCAGGTATTTCACATTTAGCGCTTTAGAGTGTAACATTTGCCCTAGAGTATTGCTAAAAACTAATTCCATTGCAACTAGAAATCAGATAAATATTTGGTGAAGTTGACATTTGTTTTTAGGATCAGATACACAAAGAAATCCTGCACTCAGCTTTCTACTGTATCAATGATTTTACATTTCATATTTTTCCATAACTATGAAAGGTGACACCCTATTGTTATCTTAGAATGAATATGGAGATTGTTATCATTCCTTGAATTTCAGATATACTACTTTACATTCTCAATTTATTTTGCTCAGCAAGGAGAAGGGAATTTCACCGATTTCCCATCTTTATCTTAGGGTAAGTCCCAAGAGCCACAGTAAGGTAGAAGATCCTGAAATCGCATCTCTTGATAATGTTACAGAAGGTCAGCTCATCAGAGGCTATGTCAAATCCATCGCAGCAAGAGGCATTTTGTTTAGGTGAGTTTGTTTGCTGTCCTTAAAAGTTAATTTGCTGTTAATGTTGGTTATTCAGAGGTAGTGAGTCTGACCTCACTACCTCTGAGGATGCTTTCCATAGATGCAGGCAAAACATCAGGAGGGAATACCTCTAGAACATGGCCATATAGCCCGAAAAAACCTACAACAACCAAGTAACAAGTGATTTCAGCTTTTTTAGTATTTGTCTAGCAGGCTTTCTGCAGTAAACGGAGAGCCCCAAATTTTGGGCTGGGCTTTAGTACAACAGGTTAACTGCAAGCTGCAGTAAATCTTGCGAACCAAAAGGTTGGCAGTTATCTGTCAGCTAGCCTCTTTAATTCTATTTATTAGAATTAATATTTAATAAGGGTGCATGGCAAATGAGTTATGCACAGCCAGGCCTAGGTGACCAAGGGATTCATCTGATGAAAACTTGCATATTTATCTATGGACTATATAATATTTTTTTAAATATTAGCTCTGGTATTGAGCAAATATTGCAAGTGAGTCAAGGGAAGCCTGAATTCTGCACATTTTCTTCCATATGATGTATTTTGTGAACCTGAAAATAAATAACACATGCCATAAAATGTGTAAATTGTTGAAGATGAAGTGCAAACAATGCCATTATTTGATGAGGAGCTGATCAGACGGTAAAAACCGAATCTACCCTCTGGGACGTATTATAAGAGCACCCCTAGAAACGCCAGAATAATGCTGGCGTTTTGTATGCAAGGGATAGTTTCACCTAACAAAGCTCGTCTAATTCTTCAGCAGGGAAAGCGAGTGAGCAGCATCCTCCCCCCCCTCCCCCCCCCCCCCCCCCCCCCCGGTGGCTGGAACTGAGCACATCCTCCAAGATGCCCAAGATGGGAAAGTTTATATACCTCTATCTATGTACAGTTGTCTGTCTTGTCAGTGTATAACAGCATTGAATGTTTGCTGTATATGTGTTTTGTGATATGCTCTGAGTCTCCTTCGGGGTGAGATGGGCAGAATATAAATACTGTAAAGAAATAAATAAACACATAACAAAATTTCTTCTCAATTTTGTTAAGGTACATGAAACTCAGTCTACAGGGGCCCTGCCATTTAATTTGTCTTGTACAAACTGGGTGCAACTGTATGTAAATCTGAAGGAGAGCCTTTAGTCAGGATTACAATGATTTATCTCTTGAAATAAAGTTGAGCAGCTGAAATAAATGTGTTCTTCTGTTTCCAGATTGTCTGATTCTGTTGTGGGTTGCATCCCGTTGCAACGTATCACTCCCGTCTTTGTGCCAGATCATTCCTTGTGTTCAAAATACATCCATCGGGGTCAGCTCCTCACTGCCAAGGTCTTCAGGTAGGTGTGAAGTTTCTTGAATGGAAGCGTGAATTTCGGGTAGCAAATCTAGTGGAGGGACAGGAAAGCAGTAAGATTTGAGGGCTAAAGCCTGGCACTGAGGCATTACTAAAGTACTGGGCAACTAGTGTTCTAGGAGCAAATATCTGTATAAGGAGCCCTTGATATCCTCTGGTGTTTGGTTCCAGGACTACCCCCCCCCCCCCAAGATACCAAAATTTGTAATGTTCAAGTCCCAGTAGTAATATGGTGTCCCTTATACTATATAACAAAATTTGAAAGATTTTCTATTCCTGGTTTGAAAGTGTTACTTCCTGTTTAATTGTATGGTACTTACTTTGAAAGTGGTTGCCACAAATTACTGTATATACTCTATTCTTCAGCCTTTTTTTAGGCTGAAAAAACCCGCCTCAGCTTATAGTCAAGTCAAAAGTTATTTATTATTTTACTGGGTTATTGTTTTTATTAATTTATTACTTCACTCTATTTGTCGTTGTTATTATTACGTTTTCATTACCTTACTATTATTATTATATTTTATTATATTTATTATTTTTCTCTATTATTATTATTAAATTTATTATTTTCTCTATTTATTATTGTTATTATTATATTTATTAGTTTACTCTATTATTATTATTACATTTATTATTTTACTCTATTATTGCTGTTATTACTTTTTCATTATTTTATTCTATTATTCTTATTTTTATTACATTTATTATTTTATTCTCTGTATAATTATTGGAAGCATATGTTAGCACATTTACGTCGAAAAAGGTTAGAATATTGGTTTAATCGGAGTTACAGTTTTATGTAAATATTCAAAAACATTTAACCTACTGATGCCCCAATTAAAGTAATGTTATTGGTATCTACTTTTTATTTTGAAATTTGCCAGTAGCTGCTCATTCCCCACTCTTGGCTTATACTCGAGTCAATATGTTTTCCCAGGTTTTTTTTTGTGGTAAAATTACGTGCATCAGTTTAGATTTGGGTTGGCTTATACTTGCGTCTATATGGTATATTAAATTGGTTGAGACTCTCTGAGATATTAATTGAAAAACTATAGCAAATGTGCTGCAAGATGTCCTGCATAATACAACTTTTCCATGTTTTTATGATAGAACCAATTAGGATAGAACCAACTTCCTCTCCTTTCATTGTCATGATAATAATGACTACATGAATGAGACTGAACCAGTTAATGTCCGTAAAGCATGTTGCATATTTAATAAAGCATTTTGTAGATGTTATGTCCTGCTGAATTCTTTCTGTCCCTTCCTTTATTTGTGATCTAATTCTACAGTATAAATAAAGCAGAGAATGTGGTGGAGTTCTCCCTCCTTCCTGAAGACACTGGGAACCCATGTATCATCCCAGAACATGGTTCTGGTGAAACAGACACACACTTAATGAAGACAAGAAAGCGAAAAAGAAGAACTTCAGAAAACGAACAGGTATTTGTCCTGGAAGGAGCATTGAGCCTGATAGAGACAGAAACCTGCATGTATATTTATCACATTGCATAACTGAATGATTCTTTTGATACATATATTTTTATACATATGCACTTTGATCAGTGTTTTTTAAAAAATTACTATTGTATTACCTTTTTCTTAAAATAACAGCAAGTAAAGCCAAAGAGAAGAGCGCATCGTACTGAAGATGATGATAGTGGTGTTGAAATCTACTGTCGGGAAGAGGAAGAGGAAGAAAAGTGTGGGAGGAAATCGAAGGTAAACCCTTGAAGAATGGAAAGGGTATTTTGGCATGGCTAGAACAGCACTTTCATTTTGAATAGGAGTATTCCACTATATGTGGAGGGGCCCCCTGGTAGAGCAGCGGGTTAAACCACTGAGCTGCTAAACTTGCTGACTTGCTGACTGAAAGGTTGGCGATTTGAATCCGGGGAGCAGGATGAGCTCCTGTTGATAGCCCCAGCTTCTGCCAACCTAGCAATTCGAAAACATGCAAATGTGAGGAGATCAATAGGTACTGCTTCTGCGGAAAGGCAAAGTGCTCCATGCAGTTATGCTGGCCACATGACCTTGGAGGCATCTACAGATGGCGGCCCTTTGGCTTAGAAATGGAGATGAGTACCACCCACAGAGTCTGATTCGACTAGACTTAATGTCAAAGGGAAACCTTTACCTTTACCTTAGAGCAGTGCTTTCATTTTGAATAGGAGTATTCTACCATGTGGGTATGTATGTAAACACAATCTTTTGTTTTTCTCCCAGCAGAGAAAAGAAATTTCTAGGCTGAAGGTTTCGACAAGCTTTACATGGGAGGAGGGCTTGAATGTGCTGAATGCTGCCATGTTGAAACCAAAGGAAGAAAGCTCCGATAGTGAGGAAGAGGATGATACAGAGACCACGGTGCAGTATTGCTATGTCATTTGCCTTGGACTTGGTTTATAAGCAACTAACATTCACGTTTATTAATCTATTGGCATTTCAGTTCTTGTTGATCTAGAGAGAATATAGATTATGCTTTGCTTGCAAAATTAAGAGATTGTGATCTGATCAGAGACAATGAAAAGCAGCTGTATTAGGATCAGAACTGCATTTCTCCTAGGATCAAGTTCATGCTAGGGTTATTTTACTTTTTGTTTCTTAGACTTTTACATACATTTTATCTGTGTTTTATTTTTGGAATGTTTTGCTCTAAAAATATGTTTGTATAAGCAGTTTTATTTTCACTTATACCTACTCCCTAAAACTATCTTCCTCTGTCTAAGAATAGGTTTAAATGTTAATTAGGACATTGTACTCTTATAATAGTGTATCTAAAAGTCATGCTCCTTCTCCTCACCCCTCCATTTGTTTTTAAGACCAAGAAACAAACAAAGAAGAAAAAAGAGTTGGAAAAGCAGAAGGCAGAGAAGGAACTTGCCAAACTTGAAGCTGCCTTGATGGACCCCAACCGGCAGCCTCAGACAGCAGATGATTTTGACCGCTTGGTCCTTAGCAATCCTGACAGCTCCATCCTCTGGTTGCAGTATATGGCTTTTCATCTGCAGGCCACAGAGATAGAGAAGGCCAGAGCTGTGGCAGAAAGGGCACTCAAAACCATCTCCTTTAGGTGAAACATCTCTCTTCTTAATTGTTATGCATCAGCTTTCATTATCACTTTCCATTCTTCCTTTAATTTTGCCTGTGTGTATATATACATTCATAGACCTTCAGGGAACAAACATTAACATGGTAGGGTGCTCATGCTAAAATAAAGCACTCAGCCCAAAGAGTGCTGCTGGATTTCTTCTCTCTTCTTTTTTATTTTTTATGTGAAAACAAATTGACATAGCTATCGCTTTGAGCATTGTTCTGGGTTTTAAATTGTTGTTTTATGCGCTATTAGTTTTACTAAGTTTAGTATTGCATTGTGTGTTTAATTTATGTGTTGTTTTTAGGCACCTTGATCATATGTAAACTGCCAGAGTCCCTTCAGGGAGCTAGAGGCGGGGTACAAAAATAAAGTTGTTGTTGTTGTTGTTAGAAATGACCTGATTAATTTTTTGGATAGGCTGTTCAGAAAAAAAAAGGCTGAGCTTTGATCTGTATTCATGTTTTTACTTTCAGAGAAGAACAAGAGAAGCTCAATGTATGGGTTGCCCTGCTGAACTTGGAGAACATGTATGGCACAGAGGAGGCACTGATGAAAGTCTTTGAAAGAGCTGTTCAGTACAATGAACCTTTGAAAGTCTTCCAACAGTTGGCAGATATCTACACTGGCTCTGAGAAATATAAGGTGAGTCCAATTATACTTTTTTATTGTGTCAGAAGCAACTTGAGAAACTGATGCTATAAATCACTTCTGATTGTTGAATGTGGCAGAAAAAAAGTTTGGTTGTTCTTGGGAAGATGTAAACTGGTCCAGCTTGATGCTAGATTTCCTTTTTGGAGTTATCATGCTAAGGTTGTTAACTGTAACAGCAGCTTTATTTTTTCATGGCTCTTCCCAGGCAGTAATGGGATATGGCCCATTGCTTTGGGTATGTGGCTGAATACCACATACCAGTACTTTGTGAAATCTTACATACAAGCTCTCCTTATTCATTGAAAAAAAATCAGAATAGTAAATAATGGTGGCTTTTTTCTTAACAAAAACAAATCTAAAACATATCTCCATTTTTAGATTGATCTTTTCTCATCTTTCAGGAAGCTGATGATTTGTATAATACAATGCTGAAGCGCTTTCGACAGGAGAAATCTGTATGGGTGAAATACTCCACTTTCCTTCTGAAAAGAGGCTTGCTGGAAGCAGCTCACAGACTCCTCCCTCGCGCACTGAAATGTCTGCCAGAAAAAGAACGTAAGGACCACTCGATTTTCTTCTCTTTTGGACAGCAGTTGCTGGACAGCTGATGTTCTTAACCGCATGTGCCTAGCATTGAAATTCCTTATTGGTTACTTAGCTGTTGGCAATAAAATCTAAGAAAAGCAAAATTGGCAATATTCTGAGCAGTTTAAGACAGTAATATAGCAACATACTTAAAAGGAGGCCTCCTGGTGGTGCAATGGGTTAAACCGCTGAGCTGCTGAACATGCTGACCAAAAGGTTGGTGGTTCGAATCTGGGGAGGGGGATGAGGTCCCTGTTAGCCCCAGCTTCTGTCAACCTAGCAGTTTGAAAACATTCAAAAGATCAATAGGTACCACTGTGGCTGGAAGTGGTAATGGCACTCCATGCAGTTATGCCGGCCATATGATCTTGGAGGTGTCTACGGACAATGGCTTAGAAATCTTTGGCTTAGAAATCGAGATGAGCACCAACCCCCAGAGTCAGACATGGCTAGACTTAATATCAAGGGGAAACCTTTACCTTATATTTAAAAGCTTTCCCTGTTACCTTTCTCTTTCTTGATTTGAGTTTTAAAAGAATTGGGGTTTGTCTTGAATGGGACTGAAGCACAGTTTCTGACCGAGATTCTCAAAATACCTGCAATGTATGTGTGTGCAACCGTTTTTAGATCAAAGTGTTTACAAATATTTCAAACAGGGCAAGGTTTCCTATCTTGTTAATATAGTGAAATTAATCCAAATGTTAGAATGAAAAAAAGTCTTCCAATTTGTACATTAAATAATACACATTTTCGTTTGATTTGTACCCCACGCTGATCTGGTATGGGACCAGAGTACAACTAGAATCTACTTGATACAAAGGTTGTTGTTGTGAAAGACTTTAAAAACCAACAACATTTGGTTAGTTTATTGTAAGAATTTCCTATTTATTTTACAGTATTTATATACTGCTTTTCTCACCCCTAGGGGGACTCAAAGCGGTTTACACATAGATAATGGCAAAAATTTGATGCCTTACAACTACAATTGTAAAACCACACATAAATCATATGAAAACATTACCAAATATCCTAGCAGGGAACCCTGAGTGCTTTCTAATTGCATGTTGCCAGAGTAACCTCAAACTTGTAAGCAAAGGCAGTCATGACTAATGGAATGCATTTTAAAACACATTCTTGTTCTTTTGCAGATGTGGACGTGATTTCAAAGCTGGCACAACTGGAGTTCCAATTTGGTGATTCTGAACATGGGAAGGCCATTTTTGAGAACACCCTGAGCACATACCCGAAACGCACGGACATCTGGTCAGTGTACATAGACATGATGATAAAACATGGCAGTCAGAAGGAAGTACGGTGAGTAATAGCATGAGAAGGAAGTCCTAGACTTTCGAACTTTTAAAGAAAAGCTGCAATTAAAGCACAGGAAATGTATATCAGTCTGGCATTTAAGGCCGTTTGGGAGATAAAGTGTATGTAAATAGATATTAACAGCATGAAAGGATGTCATAGAACCTTTATCAGGCCTGTCATTTGCAATGGGAAACCTATCTCATACTTTCTTTAGAGTCTTGCTTGAAGATGGAGAGCCTGGATTAGGGGGCAGGGCGTAGGGAGCTTCATATTGTGTAACTACTAAGCATGTGCATTCGGGCCAAAAGGCATGCTGTTTTCGGATCCGTTTCTATCTGACCCCCCTCATTTCATTTAGTAGAAAGTTACCTGAAAGGGGAGGAGCATTTTCCATTTCATTGGGCAGAGATTCGGCCCATTGGCTTCAATTGGAAACTTTAAAGACTCAGTCCTCAGCCATTTTAAGGTCTATCTGCACGAAACTTACCTCAGTTGTAAACCCCATTTACAATTGCAGGCCTGGCAAGTTTCAAAAGAATTCACCAATCTACTGATTTTTAGAATTATTTTAAGTTTTAACCATACATTTGGGAATTGTAGTCACTGGTTGTGTCCATTCTCAGTCAATCAGAGCATAGACATCACCAGACTTTTAATGGAGCCCCCAGTGGCACAGTGGGTTAAACCCCTGTGCCGGCAGGACTGAAGACTGACAGGTCGCAGGTTCTAATCCGGAGTGAACACGGATGAACTCCCTCTATCAGCTCTAGCTCCTCATGCGAGGACACATATCATCCCACAAGGATGATAAAACATCAAAACATCCAGACGTCCCCTGGGCAACGTCCTTGCAGACAGCCAATTCTCTCACACTGGAAGTGACTTGCAGTTTCTCAAGTCGCTCCTGACACGACAAAAAAAATTGTCTGAGAGACACACAGAGAGAAAAACTTCAACTTCCATCATGCTCCCTATGGCCACCCTATCCAAGTGCCACTGGGAAAGCAAATTCCCAGAGCCCTCTCTGGAGGATGAGGTAACTTTTCAAGAAAAAATGGAAGAGGTTTCTTCTGCCAGGGAGAGGGGAAAAAACCACCACAGATCCCCCTGCCTTAGGTATTTTGTGAACCTTAACTCTTTCTGAAAGTATTGTCTCTCAAAAATCAATTTCACTGGTCYTTTCATCTCTTTCTTTCCCTTTGTTTTCAAAAATTAAACGAAAATGGCCCTCYGAAAACTACAAATCTTTTTGTAAACAGGGATTCGGGCCCAAGTCTAGTAGCCACTGAAGCCGTAATTCCCTTGTATTGTGATGTGGAAAATATTGGTGACCTATTGCATTCTAAGAAGGTTTATTTGTTGTTATYAATAGCCTATTTCAATATAAGAAATACTATATTTTTGCTTAATTAAGAGCAGGCTGATCTGAGTGGGAGGGGAKGGTGAGGCGTCAAAGAAATTCAGTGAGCCCTCTGCATTTGTGGGCTCTCCCTTTTTGAATGTGATAATTTACAGATTTTATTAATTTGTTGTTCCTGGAAATCTGTAGCCCCGGCCCCCCCCCAATGCAAACTTGACCATAGATTTGTGTTAGAGGATTTTGAGATTCTTGGAAAGAGCCCTTCTGAACAGCATTCTGCCTTATTCACAGGGACATTTTTGAGCGAGTGATACACCTGAGCCTTGCAGCAAAGAAGATGAAGTTCTTCTTTAAGCGTTATTTGGAGTATGAGAAGAAGTATGGCACAGCAGAAACTGTCCAGGTTGTGAAGGCAGCGGCGTTGGAATATGTGGAATCTAAGGGCGGTCTTGCTGAGCACTGACGTCTAGAGCAAACTTAATTGCTTTCCTTGTATATTGAGATGAAGGACCGATCCCAATTGTACAAATGAAAGTTTTCCTTATAGAACTACATTATGGTCTCAGGAATTGAATAAGTTACCTGTGACCAATCCATGGCCTTTCAAGAACTGTATATCTTTTGTACCTTCCTCAGACTTTTACATCAGAGAATGGAGATTTATTTAAGTGCTGGTATTTTTTAAAAAAACAAAAATTAGAAAGTGGGAGAAAGCCCATTTGTGCTTTCATGTTGGATGATTCTTCTTATTAAATACATTGAAACTATGTGAGCGTTTTTCTAATCAAAGTATCATGGAATATATCTGGTCTCTTTCTTCCATTTTAGGCTGTATGTTCTGGAATAATACATTAATGATGTGGCTTGTTCTGCTTACTTCATTAATTCCCTCATGCATACACATTCCAACATAAATCTGAATTAGATACACTTTTCAAGTAGGCCAATATGTATGAGTTAGGCTTACTCATTGATAACTCATGTTTTATACATACAGGCCTACAACTTATATTTTTCTTGCCTTTTCCATAAATAATATACATCTTTATGACTCGAACACTGTGTTTACATTTAGAAACTATTATCCAGTTTGTATAACAGGTGGGAACAATTTTTCAATTCCATACTTCTTTTATAGACACAGTTTAAAACAGTTGTAGCTTAAAATAGTTTCGGTATACTTGTATTTTTTTTTATTTTGATGATAGAAGCTAGGCAGCAAACCAGCCTTCATTAGCCTAGTTCTCTTTAGATAAAGATTTTGGTTGCTTTCATGCTCATGGTTTTTTGGAAGTTGAGAAGAACTGGATTGGAAAAGGATGTTCCAAATGTTTAAATATCTTTACAAAAACTTGGCTCCTTTTTTTTTTTTTTGCAAAGCTGCTTTTGTTTCCTTACCCTATCACCTGAAAGGTAAAGCTAAAGGTTTCCCCTTGACATCAAGTCTAGTTATGTCCAACTCTGGGTGGTGGTGCTCATCTCCATTTCTAAGCTGAAGAACCGGCATTGTCTGTAGACGCCTCCAAGGTCATGTGACCGGCATGACTTCATGGAGCGCCGTTACCTTCCCGCTGAAGCAGTGTCTATTGATCTACTCCCATTTGCATGTTTTTGAACTGCTAGGTTGGCAGAAGCTGGGGCTAACAGTGGGAGCTCACCCTGCTCCCCAGATTCGAACCACCAACCTTTCAGTCAGCAAGCTCAGCAGCTCAAGAGGTTCAACCTGCTGTGCCAGCAGGGGTTCCAACTGAAGTTATGCTCAAAATCAACTGAAGCTATGCCCAAAAGATATTAAATGATATAAACAACAAGCAGGATATGTTCTTTCTAATTATTTACATCAGGAGTTCAAACTCTGTGGCCTTCCAAATTCTAAATGCTTTTATTTATGTTGATTGGAACTGATGAGAGCTGGAATCCTACAATTTTGTACGGGACTTTCTCCCAATTTTGCATATTAATATTAATATTATGTCCTATAAAAGCAGAAATCACAGGCATACAACATTGCTAAAGGGGAAACAGGCTGTCTGTGTGCAAGTGTATGCATGTATCTTCAAGTCACCTGTTGACATATGGCAACCCGATGAATATCACTGAGTTTTCTTAGGTAAGGAATGCTCACAAGGTGGTTTTACCAGTTCCTTCCTCTGAAATATAGCCTACAGCACCTGGTTTTTGTTGGCAATCCAAGTACTAACCAGAGTTGCCTCGGCATGGCTTCCAAGATCAGATGGGATCTAGTGGCTTTAGGGCCTTATATCAGAGACAAAAACAACAAAATGTGTCGACTTGGTATGTATGTATGTATGTATGTATGTATGTGAAAGAAATGTAAGAACCTCATCTACCATAATGCTATGGAACGTAGTACCTTAAATGTTCTACTTCAAATGACATTCCTGTTTCTTATAAAACTCTTAAAACTGGAGAGTGACTGAAATAAATATAGCCAGTTGTGACTGCCATAGTTTTCTAAACTCTGATATATAACAAAGCACAGCATTTGTTATTTTACTTTAGTTGTGTTATTGCCAATATATGGCAAAGTGGCAAACATCCATAGAGAACTTTATAGATGAAGGAAAATCGCAACAGCTTTCAAGAACTAAATCAGTGGTTCTCAACCTTCCTAATGCTGTGACCCTTTAATACAGTTCCTCATTTGTGACCCCAACCATAAAATTATTTTCGTTGCTACTTCATAACTGTAATTTTGCTACTGTTATGAATTATAATTTAAATATCTGATATTTTCATTCACTGGACTAAATTTGGCACAAATACCCAATATGCCCAAATTTGAGTACTGGTAGGGTTGTGGTGGGGGTATTGATTTTGTCATTTGGGAGTTGTAGTTGCTGGGATTTATAGTTCACCTACAATCAAAGAGCATTCTGAACTCCACCAACGATAAAATTGAACCAGACTTGGCACACAGAACTCCCATGGCCAAGAGAAAGTACTGGAAGGATTTGGTGGGCATTGAGCTTGAGTTTTGGGAGTTGTGGTTCATTTAAATCTAGAGAGCACTGCGTACTCGAACAAAGATGGATCTGGACCAAACTTGGCACAAATATTCAATATGCCCAAATGTGAACACTGGTGGAGTTTGGGAAAAATAGACATTGACATTTGGGAGTTGTAGTTGCTGGAATTTATAGTTTACCTACAATCAAAGAGCTTTCTGAACCCCACCAACAATAGAACTTGGGCCAAACTTCCCACACAGAACCCCCATGACCAACAGAAAATACTGTGTTTTCAGATGGTCTTTGGTGACCCCTCTGACACCCCTTGCGATCCCCCCCAGGGGTCCCGACCCCCAGTTTGAGAAACGCTGAACTAAATGAAAGGGTGGGAGAGACTGGGGGCCCTTACACACACCATTTAACCCAGAACATCAAGGCAGACAATGCCTCAATATGTGCTTTGAACTGCGTTATCTGAGTCCACACTGCTATCTATTCCAGTTCAAAGCAGAAAATGTGGGATTTTCTTCATCTGTGTGGAAGGGGCCATATAAAACTTTTAAGACAGAAATTGTGACAGTCTCTCATGGAAAGGTAACGTATTCTTGCATAAATTTTAGGGTGGCTTTTCAGTCAAACTTGCATAAGCAGGCATTTTTATCTGTTTCTCACCCACTCCCAGCACTGAAAGATTTAGTCTTCTGTATATGCAAATTATGTGTTTGACTATCACAATAACAATCTCAGGTTGGACTGAAACATCTACACAATTCTGGTTAGTTAAGTGTGAAAAAGCCCACCTCTGAACACTGCACAGAAACTTTCAAGTTTCAATTACCATTCTTGATAAGATTAGCTCCACATACTATGTTTGCTTTTTCAGCTGGTTAGAAGAGAGCCACTGATCTGCTTGCTTTCAAGTTGCTCCAATTGGCATGACAGAATTGAGACAGTTTGAGCTAATGTTAAATGTTTTTGAAGGAAATTATTTGTAATTGTGCATTCTCTACTCCTGTTGCGCTTTTGCAGCAAAGGCTGGACTTTTTACACTGGTTCTTGTACCTAAATATGCATATTGCCTTGTGTATGGGATGCAAAATCAAATAGTAATTTACAGTAGAGTCTCACTTATCCAACATAAACAGGCTGGCAGAACGTTAGATAAGGAAAAATGCTGGATATTAAGGAGGGATTAAGGAAAAGCCCTATTAAACGTCAAATTACGTTATGATTTTACAAATTAAGCACCAAAACATTGTGTTTTACAACAAATCGACAGAAAAAGCAGTTCAGTACACAGTAATGTTATGTAGTAATTACTGTATTTACGAATTTGACACCAAAACATCACAATGTATTGAAACAGCTGTGGATCCGGGTGGGAGGCAGACTGCGTTGGATAACACAGAACGTTGGATGAGCGAAGGTTGGATAAGCGAGACTCTACTGTAATTACCTTCCCAAAGCACATGACAACTTCTGGTGCATTAATTTGCCGGAACAGAATGAATGCAAAAATAATAAAACCAATGATAAAATCTACTCCTAAATGTAACAACTTGTATGAAGCAAGTGCTCCACATCCAATAGTGCATTGGAGATGTAGTGATATGATTCAGTACCGTAACAACACACTACATCTCTAGTTTCAAAGAAGTGAATCGTGGTGGGCTGCCAGCAGAAGTAAGTGATAACACTCTTGTCCCTTTAATGGCTGTGTAGAAGAAAGGATTTCTGAAGTTGATTGTTTGTCAAACAACACCTACCAAAATACCCTCTCTTACCCAATCATTAGAAGGGTAGAAATGTTCCTTATTTCACTTGGTGACCCTGTCAGAGATTTACAGCAAAATCAAATTGATTGTTCCAATTGGAGAAGACTCGCTGAACAAATTGCTCTATGGTTAACAGCAGTTGTAAATCCAGTTGACTTGCTGTGTTTGCTGCAGTTGGGACTACAATTTAGCATTTGGTTTCAAAGCTAGACAATGGAGTTATGCAGAAAAATATTTATTTATGGAAATGTCATCCTATTTAGACAGCAGTCTCCAAGAACTGCTTCATTTCAACTACTAGTAGACATTTGGACTTTTTTTATAATTGTTATGAAATGCTGGCCAAATGAAATCAGGGATTTTGTTTTTGTTTTTAATAGGTTAGCAGAAGAGGGAATTTCAGTAGAAGTTTGCAAAACAAGCCTCATTGTTAGAAAACCCCTTTTCTATACAACCACTGAAGGTACAGGAGCCATTATCCCTTATTTCACTTGGCAACCCTTGCTAGCCTTCAAAACTATTGTAAAGCTGCATTGTTGAAGGCTTTCATGGCTGGAATCACTGAGTTGTTGTAGGTTTTTTGGGCTGTATGGTCATATTCGAGAAGCATTCTCTCCTGATGTTTTGCCTGCATCTATTGCAGGCATCCTCAGAGGTTGTGAGGTCTGTTGGAAACTAGGAAAAATGGGTTTATATATCTGTGGAAAGTTCAGGGTGGGAGAAAGAACACTTGTCTGTTGGAGGTAGATGTGAATGTTTCAGTTGGCCACCTTGATTAACATTTGATGGACTTGCGGTTTTTAGGTGTGGCCTGTTACTGCCTGGGGGAGTCCTTTGTTGAGAGGTCTTCTAGAACATGACCATACAGCCCGAAAAACCTACAACAACCTATTGTAAAGCTTTTATAAAGACTACTGTACACTGTTAGACCCATTGACAGGGGCAATACTACTTCATCCATCCAAAGTGCAGAACACAAGGGACATTTATCTCCCCAGTGAAATCTTACAGGTTTCTCTTTTCAAGCTGTCCAATAGAGAAGATAATCCAGTCCATTTGAGCGTCTTTTTTTAATACTCCAGTAAGAGGAACAACAGTTTCTTGAAGGAGCAGAATGGAGCCAGTCTCATAAGTTGAACCCAGAACTTGAGAAAATTATTTTTTAATCCAACTACAAAATCCCCAACCAAATGACTGAAGGATTCTAGGCACTTTATTCCAAAAAATAAATGTTCCAGGTATTACCTGAGTCCAAGGACAGAAAAAAAAGTTCCTCTGGTTCATCTAAATTTACTTCTCATTGATATTTCAATTTTCTCTTCTCGTGTTTAAATGAAGTATTGAGCTCTTTTAGAGGAAGTGGGTTAAGGAAGTGTAACATGAGGTAGTAGTAACTATAATAAAGATGAGACTTCCCACTGGCATTGTTTTCTGTGAAAACAAAGGAAACGTTGTGGCATCTCCATTTGCATGACTGAACATCCAGCATCTTCTCTTCCTTTTCTGTATGGAAATACACCTTTGGGAGTGTTCTCTGCATCAGAGAAGGAAGACTTGTTCTCATCTTTTACCTTCTTGAGGTGCATTATTATTCTCACAACAATTTGTAATAATATTTTGAAGGTATTCTTCCAAAGTTGATCTTTCCTGTTCCTCATCTGACATCAAGTTCACCCATATTTTTTGGGTGTTAATTGTCACCATTGGTGTAGCAAGAGTTTTGGCAATACACAAAAATGAGATAGCATGGAGATATTATGAATTGTGTATGGGGCCATTTTGTGCATGTCTGTTCAGAAATAGTTCCTATGGACCTTGCTACTGGTATAACTCTGCAACCGTTGTTATCTTAGGTAGCTAGAAAGGCAGTTTCCTGGCTGTCAGGACCTAAACTATTTCCTGTCAACCTTTTGGCCCATTTATGGAGACGGCTATAGAGGGGGAAGCCATTATTCTCCCGATAGATATAGACTCCAGTGATGGCATCCCATTGTTGCCTGGGCTGGACACTTGTCACCACAAATTTTTCCATCTCTTCTGCCTCTTCCTTGTCTAAGTACACAAAGCCAAAGAAGTTCTTGACGTTGGTGGCAGCCATGATCTTGGCATGTACCTCAGCAGTGCGTTGAAAAAGTCTGGTCTCATTGCAGCGGTATTGATCCCAGTAGGCTTCTTGGCGGTAACTGAGGGGTGAACAGCAGTGTTTCAGGCACTTGGTGATGAACACAAGAACTGCAACCACACCAATGAGCATCCACCCAAATAGCTGAACAGAGGGACAAAAATAAAACAAAACAAAACAGGGGTTGGTTTGGTTTCTGTGTTTAATGGAGCCTTTCTCAACTAAGTGCCCTCCTGATATGTTAGACCGGAGTCCAGTATCAACTCATTGATATTAATTGTTATAAATAAGTTATATATTTTTCAAAAACCACCTTAAAATGTATAGTTCTTCCCATCCACCCATAAATGTCTACATAATTTGAGGGAACATTCAAGAGGACAATATGATATGTTTATGTGGTCCTTTGCTACAATGTCTCCTTCATCACGTTGCTAGTCACCTGCACTAAAGTGTTAATCCTTTAGACGGCTATAGTTGTAGAGGCAAGTGGGATGATGTCCAATAAGCAATTGCATGCTATTAGAGAAACTGGAAAAGTCTATTTTAATGCAAAGCTTCCAGGGGAGAAACTAAAACTCATTAAGAAAGGTAGTCTTGGAGATTGACTGATCTTTAAGCCTGTAGTGCTCTGCACATCTCACAACAATGAAGATTAATTAAATTCACTGGAGTTGTCTCATGTATAAACTTGCCATGCTCTGGGCCTTGTGCTGCTATTTGCTAGTTGGGCTGGAATAACTTCAGAAAGAGCTGAATTAGTAGCTAAGGATTAATTACAAAAGAGCATACACAAACAATTAAACGAATCATTCTTAAGAAAGCCATTACTTAGTGCAATGTGAAACATTCAAACCAATATCCAAGGTTTGAATGTCTTCTTGCAATAACTATAGACCAGATTTTTTCTAAAATCTGTTCTTTAGATGTATTAGTTTACAATAAGAGGGGGCAATGTGCAACTTACAAGCCAAAGTGTGTCTTCTGAGCCCCAATTTGCACCCGCAAACTGCTCATTTTTTTTAAAAAAACCTGGTGTCACCTGATGTCACACCCAAGTGTCCCCAACCTGCACATAAATGTAATGGTTTGTCTTTGCCTGTTCTAGATACCACCCCAAAACCTTCTTCTTAGGCCAAAGTCAGTCAAAAATACAGACTAGAAGTCTCCTTTGATGTGTTAGGAACCACAGGTACGGCCTGCAGGTAGGGTTTGTGGGCAAAACATTGACCCTGGCTCTCCTTGCAGTTCCCACCCATGATCTATAATGTCCATCTTCACATGAACAACTATGTAAAATATAATACCTGAGACTCATATTTTAATCGTCGTATAACTTCATCTTTAAATCCTGTCACATTCTTTGGAAAGTCTTCACAAGGGAACTTGGCCATGGTGTCTGCTCCGTAGCCAGATGGAAAGTTATTCAGGGAGGTGGGATCTATGAATTCACTCAAGGCACAGACATAGGCTTCTCCGCGAAGTAGTGAGATCACTGACCATGTAATAGGAGCAACTGCTGCCCGTCCCATGACGGAGCCAAAGATCAAGAAGTTCGCAGCTGCTGAGAAGTTCTTAGTTCCTCGCTTGTGGCACTCAGCCACCAGGTTCCAAGTGTGATGGTTCCAGATGACACCAAGGACAAACAGAGCCAAAGCCGGTACACCAATGGCAGCCAGGCCATAGATATAGTTTCTAGCTGGAGAGCACGGGCAATGGAAAGCAACCACAGAGAAAAGTTCCTGGCTCCCAACAGTGCCCAGGGCAACCAGGCCATTGAAAATCATCACATCCTTGCTCTTGAAGAAGAGTGAGAGGAAGCGGAAATTTTCAGCAATAAGAGCGGCCATTTTACTTTTCTGTATCCAGCTGGCACTTTAGGTGTTATGATGTAGAGGAGATATCTACAGACCCAAGGAGTTTTGGTGTTCTTGCTTGTCCATGAGCTGCAACAACAGAACCACCATTAAGAAATAATGATATGATTGCCTAAGAGACATATTAGTAGACATTGCAGATATAAAATGTTAGGAAACATCTTAATACGTCTACAAAACACAACATTTTACATTTTCAATGTTTTAGTTTTGGCATCTTCAGTCTGCACAATAGAAAATACATCATGCTGAATCAGTCTACTCTAGCGTTCAGTTCACACAATTGGTTATCTATGAGAGATTCACAAGGAGAAAATGAGTGCAATTTAATCCCTTTCCTGTATGTGTTTACACCTGGTGACTGATATAAATGCACTTTACTTTCAGTACATGCATGTTAAGAGAGAGATCATTCATTGAGGCCCAAAGGCCTCGGGGAATAGCCAAGTTTTCATTTGGGACCTAATGAAATCAGTGTTGATATCTATCATGCCTCCAGGAGGAAGGCATTGCACAATTGAGGTTCCATAGCTGAGAACCTCTCTCCTGTGTTTCAACACAGCATGTTATGTTGGGCCCCCACAACAGATCTCACATATGGGAGGAGGTATTTCCTCAAGTATTGAGGTCCCAATCTGTTTAAATGTCCTCAATGCTTCCAGCCTTGAATTCAGGCTGGAAGCATTTTGGCAGCCAGTAAGATCCAGTTCCTTTTCAAAGCCATTATCATTTGCTATGGTAGCAAGTTCCACCATTAACCTGTGTGCTATATGAAGTGCTTCCTGCTGTTGCTCCTGATTCTCACACCATTCAGCTTATGTGAATGATCACAAGTTGAACAACAAAAAGAAAATAAATAATCCTCTATCGCTTTCTTTCCACAATGCACAATTTTATACACATCTGCCCTACGTATTTGTTTTACTTGTCATTGTTAACTACCTTCAAGCTAACTTCAACTTATGTTGACCCTATGAATGGGAGACCTCCAAGTCATCCTATCTTCAACAGCCCTTCTTAGGTAGAGCAACTGCATTGAATCTATCCATCTGAATATGTTTTTTTTATAACTGCCCTCTACTTTACCAAGCATTATTGTCTTTTCCAGTGAGTCATCTCTTATGATATTACCAAAGTATTACAACCTCACTCCCTCTTATTTTAACAATCCCCCCGCCCCAAATGTTACAGCCTGTTCTCATGGGTCAATTTTTACATTGATTGTTTTGGTTGTCCTTTTCTGTCTTTTCTAGTTTGTCAACATCATTTTTAGATGTAGAGACCTGAATTGTACACGGTATTCCAGATGTAATCATAGCATAAAATTCTACAAGGGTAGTATTGCATTTTCGATGTTACTATTTGATTCTTCTTCTAAATATAAAAAAACATGGGCTGCTGCAAATTTGGTTAAAAGTTTTATTGAGCCATCCATCAAAACCCCAAGAGCCTCTTGTTAATCAGTCCCCCCCAACTTGGATCCCATCAGTAAGAAAATAGCTGTTTTATATACCTAATTGATACATTCCAATCTATCATATTATGGTGTCAGACCACAGCACTACTGATCCAATGTACTGAAATGGAATATCCTAAATACAGCCAGAATTCACTTCGGCAGTTATAAATATGTAACCACCATAGATGCATAGGTAAGCAGTGACTCCCAGCCTGATCTCTCATCTCCATTTACCAAGCAGCAGCTACTGCGATCAAAACAATCTGTTCTCTTGTTTATTGGGAAATGGTGAATGACCATCCCAACCTTTCAATGAGGGATCTCCTGTGTGATTGGCAGAAGTAGGGTCCCTATCACAATCCTCTTTCCTGCTGGAGATCACTCACACAAGGAGAGAATCAGCCACTTCTTGATCTGCATGGAAACAGATATCAGCAAGTGAGGACTGGGGGACTTTCACGGTCCCGATGTATCAACTAAACTAAGAAATACAAAGGGATCATAAATACAAAACAGTCATGAAAGTGTGGCTCTAGGACAGTGGCTCCCAATCTGTGCTCTATGAACCACCATTGGTCTGCAAGAACTAAAATATGGTCCATGGCCTCACCGTTACTACACCATTGCAACGAGAGAGATTGCTCTTGCTAAATCCTCTTATAGTGCCGAGGCTTATTAAATATGGTTTTCTGTTGGCGAGCTGATGGCAGCTACTGGATGACATATGTTTTGTATCAGAAACAAGAGCTGATGTGGTCTATCCAATACAATTTTCTGAATCAGCACCCCCAAATAACCAAACCGAATCTAAAGTTGACCAAAAACCCTTTTGGTACTAATGCTGGAGAGTAGTCCCTGGTCAAGTGGTCCCTGGTCAAAAAAAGGTTGGGAACCACTGCTCTAGGATATATTTTCACATCAATGACTTAATGGATCCCATCCCCCCTTTTTTTAGTAGAGAAATACATAACAATAAAAACACACAGATTCATGCCATAATGTGCTATCTAGTGCTAAATGGTTATAGGCTTGGATTCTGTTATTTCAAAAGTACTTGAAGCATTATTTTTCAGACTTGCATGTACTAAAATTGACTTGTTCTATCAATTATAGACAGTATGCAATAGTAAATAAAGCAAATTCCCTTTCTTCTCTGTCTGCTTACAAAGAAGCTCCATTAAATCATAACAGAAATATAGAATTAACTGTGTGGACAATTTTTCAAGCCATAATTTTCTTAGATCTTTCACTGATCTTTCATTACCCAGTCCCCCTGATATTGGACAGAGAACATTTCAGTTTGTCTTACCTTTACTATTCAGCTGGTTGTTATGAGTTTCAATGATAGTTGAAATCTGCAATGAAGAAACAGTGTTTTGAGAGCTTGGAATGCAATGCTGTTGATCTTGGGTACTAGTATTTCTCTCTTTATCTGCCAGCGTTGTTCTGTGAGTTTGAGACAGATGGATCCCCATTTTTGTTGTGCTTCCATTCACTAGCTATGACTCTGACTCTCTGACCAAACTATTATTATGATCAACATGGAAATATTAAAATGAATTTACCAAATTAGTCTTCATGGGTTGGGCTAAATAAATAGTATGGAATAATATGGAGCAAGTAATTATCGTCTGAATAATTTGAGTCAATGGGAGTAACAAGAACAACTTGGATCCAACATTTTGCATGACACAACTACATATCCTAACACATGTGGCCACTCTATCACATTTGAGTGCATAATGTCACCAAATGACATCGTGTGACAATATGATTACTTTTGATACAAAAATGCCCTCCCAAAGGGAATTTGCTACCATACCCCGTGATTTGCAAGTATTAGATCTGCATTTATCAGTTTCTAGCATGTGGAGTAAAAGAAATTGCATTAACAGGATGAGTAATATTTCAGGAAAGATATACTAGTTGGGCAGTTTTCAAGTGTGTTAAGTCCAACATTAATATATCAGATTTTTAGGTAAGAGTCAGGAATGTGCAGCCCTCTTAATGTGGATGGAACGTAACAGTAGGTACCGCTTCTGTGGGAAGGTGGCTTGTATGTGCAGTCATGCCAGCCACATGACCTTGGAGGCGTCTATAGACAATGCCGGCTCTTCGGCTTAGTAATGGAGATGAGCATGAGCTCCCAGAGTCTGACACGATGAGACTTGATGTCAAGAGAAATAGAGACGAATCCTATCCTGGCTTTTAATGTAAATAACGTTTACAAGAAAACCAATATACAAGGTCATAAGAAACATTTTTCTGAGAAAGACTAAAGATCCATTATTTAGTACAATTTCTGTATTCTTCTTTACTGTCCGTGGTTAGCCACATCGTATGGCCAAATTATAAGCAAGATATAACAGACACAGACATCTCTTTCACTAAACATAGAAAGCTGACTTTACCAGATCTAACTATTCACTCATTAGGGAGAAAGCCTTTCCTACTACTACAGTGTGGAGACCTTCACCTTAGCCAATGGATTTTAAGTATGAAGGAAAATAGATTTTATTTTGCTGCTGTATTTTTGCTGCTAGGAAGATTGAGCCAAGCTTATAGCATTTTCCAGAGCTTGAGACATTGATTACAAATTGCAGGAAAATATATTACATCTAAACATTAGGAAGAACTTCCTGGTGGGAAGAGCTGTTCAGCAGTAGAATATGATGCCTTGGAGTGTGGTGGAGTCTCCTCTAGACGTTTGGGGTAGAGGTTGGATGGCCATCTGTTGGGAGTGTTTTGATTGGATATTCCTGCATGACAGGGGGTTGAACTGGACAACCTTTGTGGTCTCTTTCAACTCTGTGATTCTATGATTCCACAAGCTCTAGAATCCGATGTTCATAAGGGTACTGTAGCCTTTCACTTTACCTGATTCTCTTAAATGATGCCAAGGACTAGGATTTTGGCATGTGAACCTTGTGCTTTACAATTGAAGGGGGGGTGGTGGTGGTGGTGGTGGTGGTGGTGGTGGTGGTAGTGGTGCTCATCTCCATTTCTTAGCCGAAGAGCTGGTTTTGTCCGTAGACACCTTCTAGGTCATGTGTCCAGCATGATTGCATGGAGCTCTGATTTGGAGTCACTTCACAGTGAATTTTCATAGCAATAACATTGTGATTTCTTAATACAAACGTTTTGATTTATCGAACTGTGGATTTTTTATATATATATGGTCAGGTTTTGACAATATTTATTTTATTTATTTATTTCATACATTTGTATCTCATCCTTCTCAACCCCAGAGGGGGCCTCAGGGTGGCTTCACAATCAGCATCCATTAGATGCTCAAACAAAGATAATTATAATAGCAATTTAAATTTAAAACAATAGCTAAAATGTCAAATATAAAATATATTTGATATTTTAGCTAAACATTTTAACTAAATATCAAATATAAACAACCAATTAAAATCATGCAATATCATGTGTATTGAGAGTAGTAGTAGTAGTATTAGTAATAATAATAGTAATAAAACCTTTATTTACTAGTATCCCGCTTTTCTCCCTGAACGGGGCCCAAAGTGACTCACAACATTTTAAAAAATGAGATATTGAGATATTATGGTAAATTTCAAAGTTTTAAAAATACAGTTTCATTACATGGACATTACACAATTGTTTAGCTATCTCTATACTTTACATTCCCTTATTACACTATGTAACATTTTTTTTAAAAAAATGTTCCTGGTTTGAAAGTGTTACTGTTTAATTGTGCAGTACTTACTTTGAAAGTAGTTGTTATACTCCAGAAACTTCGTTTTTGTGGCTGCCACAAAATATTTTGAATTGGTTGAGACTCTATGAGATATTCATTGAAAAAAAATAGCAAAATATGTTGCAGGATGCTTTTCCCACAAAAACGTTTTTGCAGTTTAATCAACTTTTTCGATGTTTTAATGATAGAACCAATACGGAAATGTCATTTATAACCCAGGAACAAAAAATGTGTTACATAGTATTACTTATTCTTTCTTCCTCCCTCTGTATCACTACTCCTAAACACCACTAAGACACATGGTAGGCTGAAAGGGCTCTGCTATAGAAATGTATTCTAAAAAAGGGCTGCATGAGTCAAGAACAGTGGTCCTCAAACTTTTTAAACAGAGGGCCAGGTCACAGTCTCTCAAACTGTTGGAGGGCCAGATTATAATTTTTTTTAAAAAATGAATGAATTCCTATGCACACTGCACATAGCTTATTTGTAGTGCAAAAACACTTTAAAACAATACAATAATTAAAATGAAGAACAATTTCAACAAATATAAAATTATTAGTATTTCAATATGAGCAGGCATTCGGGTAACTATGCAGCGATAACCAACCTAACAATGACGGCATTGAACAAGGATTGTATAAGGTCTATGAAAACGGAATCTGATTCTAWATGAGGCGTCGATGAATATGTGTATTGTTTGTGGATGTATGTCTTACATATTGTTCAGTGTTATTTTTATTGTAAACCGCATTGAGTCGCCGTCCCAGGCTGATAAATGCGGTATACAAATGGAGTAAATAAATAAATAAATAAATAAATAAGTGTGGGCCTGCTTTTGGCTGATGAGATAGGATTATTGTTGTTGTTGTGTGCTTTCAAGTAGTTTCAGACTTAGGTTGACCCTGAGCGAGGGCCAGGTAAATGACCTTGGAGGGCCGTATCTGGCCCCTGGGCCTTAGTTTGAGGACCCCTGGTCAAGAAGGTCGGGAATCACTGCTTTAGAACTATTTCAACTTCTTTGTTATCTGAAAGATCAATTTCTTTTTAGCTGATTTCCTCCAAAGCATTTAAAATTATTCCATTTCCTGTGTTTTTAGTAACTCTCACTTCTTACTCTTTTTTTTGTGCCGTATTACCAGGGTTTCGGTTTTTTCTTCTTCCTCACTGGGCAGCAACTTTCATTTTTGAAAGATGCCTGCTTGCTTGCTTTTTATAGCCTCCTCAATCTATTTTTAACCTCCGTTCCATTCTTTTAGATTTGGATATGCTTTTTCTAATCTCTAGTATATTTTGTATTTAAGGACCTCATCACACTTGAGCATTTTCCCACTCCAATTCGCTTTAAATGCTGTGACTGCCCCCTGCATAATTCTGGGACTTGTAGTTTAGGGAGGGGTCTTTAAACTGCTCATCCAGAGAAGCCCTGGGTCTCCCTAAACTACAAGCCCCAAAATTCTGAAGGAGGCAGTCACAGCATTTAAAGTAGATTGAAGCGGAAAAGTGCTCAAGTGTGAGGTCTCTATAAGCATTTTGCATTTTGAAAAAAAATCCAAAGAGCTTTGGCCCTTGCAACAATACCCTTTAGTGTTCTTTTAAGGAGCTACAATGATGCAATGGGTTAAACCCTTGTGCTGGCTGAACTGCTGACCTGAAGGTCGGCGGTTCAAATCCGTGAAACAGGGTGAGCTCCTGTCTGTCAGTTTCCCATGCAGAGACATGAGAGAAGTCTCCCACAGGATGGTAACACATCTGGGTGTCCCCTGGGCAATGACTTTGCAGACGGCCGATTCTCTCACACCAGACACAACTTGCAGTTTTTCAAGTTGCTCCTGACAAGATAAAAAAGTATTCTTTTAACTAACCTACTAATTTGAGGCAAGAAAATTAAAATTAACAATGACTGCTGTTGAGCCAACATTTACAAACATTTCATAGGATTATATTCATTGATTCCAAGTCACTTAATTACAAATTTGTCTTACAACAACTCACAGCATTAAATCAAATTGTCAGGGGAAGAAAGGTGTGGTACCGTCACATTGTCTGTGTCACTGGAAATGCTCTGGTTACCTCTGCATCCCTACCATGTGCCAAGTTCAGTTGCAACTGAAATCTAGGCAGAGCTTGGGAAACTTAACATTTAGGGTTACATCCTTCAGAAACCTGGAGTTCATGGCTGCTGGCTGTGCAGGGTGGGGATTCTAGAGGCCCTTCTACACTGCCATATAATCCAGAATATCATGGATGAATTGGATGATTTGAGTTTACACTGCCATATAATCAAAGCAGATAATCTGGATGTTATACAACTGCGGAGAAATACTGCTGCCATTTCATTTGTTCTTTGTGGTACACCCAGCTATTCCAGAAGTCACTCGTTAGTATTGTAGGAATAAAACTTCTGTAATTTATAATCTTGTTCCTGATCTTAATTGGGAAACAAGGTGAGGAATATATTAAAGGAAGGCCTGTAATATAAATTAAAGGAAGGCCTTCCAAATGCATCTCCCCTTATGAACCAGCCGCTCTGAGTCCCCCCCCCCCCTCAGGGGTTGAGAAGGGGTGGAATGGGGAGGCCCTGCTGTCGATCCTGCCTTTGTCACAAGTACGTCTAGCAGGGATGAGAGACAGGGCCTTCTCAGTGGTGGCCCCTTGGCTATGGAACACCCTCCCTAGGGTTATCAGATTGGCCCTCTCCCTTTTAACATTTTGGAGAAAAGTCAAGACATGGTTTTTTGAGTAAGTGTTTGCAAATGCAAAGTAAATGACATAGGAAAATGGAACAAATAGACGATGGGACCAGACAATGTTTTTTAAAAAAGGATATGCTAATGATTTATGTTTTTATTGATTTTGTTATGGTTTTTATTATATGTTAATGTTTTTAATTGTATTTATGGTATTGGACATTGAATTTTGCCTGTAAACTGCCTTGAGTTGCCTGCAGGCTGAGAAAAGCGGTATACAAATATAGTAAATAAATAAATACAGTAAATAAATAAAATAATAATTTCAATACAGTGCAAAGATAACTTTCCAGGCTCTGAATCTAACATACTATTACAAGTACTATTCTTCCAACTATTTTTAATCAAAACAATGCAAATAAAAGGTCATATATAGTAACCTGAAAATGCCTGTTTGTGGTTATAATTGTGTTTAGTATTTACATCTATTGAGAGAGGCCTTAGATCTTGTTTTTAAAAAGTTATCTAAGAAACAACAATAAAAATTATTTCCCAAGTTTTCAAAAATTAATCTAGAACTATCCCTGAATTAAAAGAACAAATATAGACCACACCCATAAAATCAGATACAGTTAGCCCTGCATAGGAACAGATTCTGAATCCATGGAATCAACTACCCATGGCTCGATAATATTTTTCAAAGTCCAAAAGGCCAACTTGATTTTGCCATTTTATATGCTATTGTATATATTAGACATGAGCATCTACAGATTTTTGTATCCATGTGGTGGGATCTTGGAACCAAATCCCAACAGATAGCAGGGCCCACAGTATTCCTTCACTGATTACAACTGGCCACCTCTAACCCTAGTCAACACTATAATTAATTTATTAATCTGTAGAATAAAAGTTGCAGCGGGCTAAATAGTTCTGCACCTGCAGTTTCTGTTCTTGCAGTACAGTAAAGTTATTTGTGGCAGGCAATAAAGATGCAAAGGAGAAATGGAGAAATTCCTTTTCATTTTCTCACAGATACAACTGATGACTTCATCACACACAATTAAATAAAAATTTCTACACACTTAAGAAACTGCCACCTATGGTGCCCTTCACACGATGCAAGCTTCAAATGTGCAGTAGAGGTATCTTGGAATTTCTAAAGTGCGGGGTTTCCCACGATTCCTGAGTCGATTGACAAGTGACTTCTTTTTCAATTCTCCACATAGAGACATGTAAAAATGCCCTACTTAACATGTGACAGGAATCCCTCCTTGCCTGTTGGTAAATAAAATGATGATGTAGTCATGGAGGGAGGAGCCAAGACGGGCAGTATAGAATCCTTTCATCCGCCAGAATCTTTAGTCATTAGCCTTCAGTTTACTAGGAAGGAACTGAAGGCTAATGCTCCTTCAGGTGGTGTGGTTCCCATGGTAGTCCATGCATCTTGAATAGACTACTGCAATCTGCTCTATGCGGAGTTGCCTTTGAAGACTATTTCGAAGCTTCAACTAGTTCAATGGACAGCAGCCAGGCTGCTCACCGGAGTGGTGTACAAAGAAAGGACATCCCTCAACAGGATGCCAGCCTGCTACTGAGCACAATTCAAAGTGCTGGCTTTAACCTATAAAACCCTAAACGGTTCTGGACCACTTTACCTGTCTGAACGTATCTCCCTCTTTGAGCCAGCTAGGAGGTTAAGATCTTCTGGGGAAGCCCTGCTTCTGGTCCCGCCTCCTTTGCAGGTGTGGTTGTGGGGACGAGAGACAGGGCCTTCTCAGTGGTGGCCTTTCGGCTTTGGAACTCCCTCCCCAGTAAAATTAGATCAGCCCCCCCCATCCTGAAAAGGCTAAAGACATGGATGTTGGACCAAGCATTTGGTTAGTAATCTACTAGTGCAATAAGAGAATATGGAATTTTGCATTGACAACCTGAAATAACCTCGGATTATGATATTGGATTATGTGATTTTAAATAAGTACTTTTAAAGTGTGCTATGTCTTTAATGATTTTTAATGTATATATATTTATTTTACTATGTATGTCCATATGGCATCAAATTACTGCCTATATATATATAAGCCGCTTTGAGTCCCCTATGGGGTGAGAAGGGTGGGGTATAAATATGTTAAATAAACAAATAAATAAATGTTTTAAAAAGGTGCTTCAACTCAGCTTCACTGAAAGTGTGTTGACGACAAATGATCCCAGAAAAAGCAGTTTCTTAAGGCAAATACCTTAACTCAGGTCTAGTTGAAGGATATGAAAGGAAATGATCCCCGAAAAAGTGATTTCTTAAGACTGATGCCTTAACTCAGGTCTGGGTATGAGAGCAAATGACAGGGGAGGAGACCATGGGAGGAGACATATTTCTCCTGTGTAATAGCAAAACAAATAGATAAATCTTAAAGAAAGCAAAGAAAAGGATTAGGTATGATGGGGGTAGGAAAATCCGTTTAATTTCAAAACGGGGCATGGCGAAGCTTAAGGTAAAACCAACAATTTACTTCATTTTATTTATCCTGTGGGATGAAGTCATGAGTCATATCTTCTGGAGAACTGAATTTTTTGGCAGCAAGTATCAACTCTTAGACCAACAAGAGATCCCCAAAATAAATTTGAGAGGAACTATATTAAATCAGGAATATACAGGGGAAACGTTGATTTGGGGATGAGAATTTGAAGCTGAAATGTATAGCTTCCCTCATTCTCTTCTTACCCCTTTCTGCTGAGTAGTCTTCAGAAATACACAAACACACAGGATAGTTCTTTGTAAACAGTCAAGGACTTTATTCGTCTTCTGACACAGCTGGAATGCATATGCTCAAAAAAGTACGCCTGGCGACTCACATGTCATCCTGCCCCACCCTTTTATATCAAGGGCCGAATAGTAGAAACAGCCAAACACCCAGTTAGTTAGTGACAGATCTTCAAAGATGCCTTTTATTTGTTCAAAAGCTGCAGTTATGCAGAGGCTGATGAACAAAATAAAAATAGAGATCTGCTGATTATAACAATGTGATCACTCTCACGAGTTTTCGGTTCGTTGCTGAGGGATAGAATTGTCAGAATGATAACTTGTCTGCCTTTTGGGTGAAAATGCGCAGCAAATCTGATCGTTTTCAGCTCTGACATCCGGCAGCCTAGCAAAGTTCTTTCCTGCTTAAAGTAGAGCTAAAAATAACTCTCCATTTTGGAGTAATTGGGAGGGATTCTTGTTGTAACACAAATAATGCATATGCTTTTGTTTTATCTTGATTCTCCCCATAGCCAAATGAAACATGAGTGAGAGAAAATAAAAGGTACTTACTTTCTGTGGGTTCTTCATCCAATTTCCTGAGCCCTTTTAGCTGACTGTGTAGTTTCTGAATTTATTTCAAAAGTATCTGCTTGTTCTGCACACGAGAATGCAGAAGGGAATCAAATGTAGAAATTGCGCTGACAAAAGAATTTTTTGAAAAAAGGAGCACTGGTTTCCAGCTATTTTCTTTTGCATGCAAAAGGCTTTTTTCATGAGAAAGGGGAGGGGAAAAAGTACAGTCAGGGTGGGGATTGTATGGACTGGCAAGCAGAAAGAGAGGAAAAGAAACTATGAGTTTTGCTGTGCTGCTTTCAGAGACATCATGCCTATAAAGAGGAAAGTAGTGAAGGAAAAATTAATGGAAAAAATGAAACGCTCCATAGCCACGTCAAGATAGCTTGGCACCAGAAGGCAGGGAGGCATTTGGTTTCAGTTGCTTGGGTTAGGCATGACAACAATAGTTTCTCTAGCCTCCCAAAGTGGGTTGGCTTAAGAAAATGGGATGTTCGCGCTTGTAAAATACGACACTATGAGGGTTATTCCTTCATTGCATTTTACAGACTTTTACTAAAGGATGCTGCCATACATTATTTCCTCATAACAGTATGTGATGCTTTGTTGTTTTTCAAGTAAGGGAAATTGGGAATAGATGCTGCTGTACATTATTTCCTCATAACAGTATGCGGTGCTTTGTTATATTTCAAGTAAGGGAAAATAGTAGCCATCCACTGTGCTAAATATTGCTACTACAGAAGTGGGAAAAGTGAGACTTTGGTCCCGTGTTGTACCCAGAATGTTAAAGCCTCCAGATTCTCAATTTCTTTTGGAAACTGGGAATTCTAATGCCAGCTTCTTTCAACAGCAATCCCCAAAACATCCCAACTCATATTTCCCAAGCTTACCAACAATCAGCTTGAAAAAACTAAAAATGTAAACCAGGGATCTTTTCACACTTTACAGTTAGAGCACTTTTAACTGTGATGGCAACATCCTATAGAACCCTGAACTTTGAGATTTGATGAGGCTCTTAGAGTAGAGAATGCTGAATGCTGAAACTTCAAACCCCAGGATTTCATAGTATTTTGGATTTTGAATTATTGGGAGGATTTTAGGCATGTCTGTACATAATGAGATATCTTGGACCTTACCATCATGTATAATGACATTGGCTGGGGTGACAGACCAACATAGGAGAGAGGAGAGGAGGGATTGCCCCATCCTTCCCTCCTCCCTTTTCCAATTTTCTAATTGCTCTGGCTAGCATACTCCAGGTAATGCTATTGGGTGACCTATGTTGTGTCCTCTGCCCATTGCAACAAGGAGAACTTAGAAAAAAAGTAGTAAGTGCCATCCTGTGTTCCATGGGTTGTCTGAGCGAGGGGAATACTGGATGTCTATGTAAAAAGTTATGATTGTTTTCACCTCGAAATCGACCCAACTGCAAAGTTGCAGCTTGCTCTTGAGCCTCGAGACTGCATCAGATGGCTTTGACTTGCATTAATTTGAATCAGCTTTGTATAGCATTTTGCCTCAAAGGAGCTGATTCGCCCTCCTTCTGAGATAACCGATCAGTGTATATGTCTTCTTATATTACAACCCAGGTAGAATTTCTCAGTAGCACTGCTGTCAGCCTTGTTTGACTGTGATGACAAGAGGATTCTGGAACGTTACTGTAAAAGCTCATAACATTTATTGAAGCTTTTATAGCAGTGGTTCTTAATCTGTGCGTTCCCAGTTGTTTTGGCCTACAACTCCAAGAAATCCCAGCCAGTTTACCATCTTTTAGGATTTCTGGGAGTTGAAGGCCAAAATATCTGGGGACCCACAGGTTGGGAACCACTGTTTTATAGCTCTCCCCTGAGGAGTTCATGACCTCTCTGGGGACGGTGGAACATAGGTTAGATCAGCCCTCTATATCCACTGATTATAATGTATCTATGGATTCAACCACCTATGGCTTGAATGTTTGCTAACATAGAAATGCAAACCCTGATTTTTCCATTTCATACAAGGGATACCATTTTCCTACACCATTGTATATAATGGTGTTTGAGCATCCACAGATTTTGGTATTCATGGGTGGTCCTGGGAAAAAGGAAGAGGGGCTGACCAAGGCTGACTGAATGAATGAACAACAACAGGTGGTCCTGGAACCAAACTCCACTGTATAGAGAAAAGGCAGGAAGTGGAAGGAAGCATACAAGTCCTCTGTTGCAACATCTCCACTGGCTGCCAAGACATTTCCAGGCACATTGTGAAGTGCTGGTTTTGACCTGCAAAGCCCTATAAAGTACTGCTCTGGTCAACGTTATCTGAAGGACAGTATCTAGTTCTATGAACTTGGTAGACATTTGCAATCAACTGGGGAGGGACTTCTCTCTGTCCCATGACCCACTCAAGTGTATTTGGTGGTAACACAGGAGAGGGCCTTTTCGGTGGCTGCTTCCAGAATGTGGAACTTCCTTCCAAGAGAGATCAGGAGGGCCACCTCCCTGCTGGCCTTCCAGAAACAAGTTAAGATGTTCTTCTGCCAGTGGGCATTTGGGAAACACTGCTGGAGAAGTGTGTGTGTGTGTGTGTGTGTGTGTGTGTGGGTGGGTTCGGGGGGATTCTGGGGGGCACACACTAGACTGTGCATTTTAAAGGCTATTTTAAAAATATTTTTTTCCTTAATCCACACTATATAATTCAATTTTTTGGTATTGTACTTTAAAAAACTATGACCAAAATGTGGGACTGTTAGCCGCCTTGAGTCCCCATGGGAAGAAAGGCAGGGTATAAATAAAGTAAATAATAAAGTAAATAATAATAATAATAATAATAATAATAATAAATCCAAAGCAGAGAAATGTGGGCTGGTCCATGAGGTCTCAAAGCGTCGGAAACGACTGAACGAATGAAGAACAACAACAGAGAAATGTGTAATTAATTCAAAAACATACATGCTGTATAAAAAGAAGGAAAAGGAAGGGTTGTACCAGGCCAAGGTGTCTCACATGACAGATACAGCTAATTAATCGTATCAGTGAGCCTTTAATTTTTGGTATGTGACAAAGCAAGCACACAGTGATGAAAAGGAAATGATGAACTATTTTACATCAAAATTTACAATGGCTTGCTAGATCATTCAAGCTATTTTTAAAATTGCAGTTGTTTTTCTTCAAGAAAATTCTTCCAAAGTATATCTTTGAGACTTGATCCTGCAGTGTCCTGATAATTCTTGAAGAATATAACGCTAAAGAATGTGCTAAAGAAAATAATTTGCAGAATGCATTCCCCCAGGCAAGGTAGTCTGAATTAATCCTGTGTTCAGAATGCCGAGTGACAAACCGTATATAATGATCAGCTAATCAAAAATTAATGTTAGATTCTTCCAATGGTTTGTTGACTGTGATAAAATAATGTGTGCAGTATGTTCCCTCTGCCCTGTTCTTCAGGAATGTTATGTGCCTTTAAAATAAAATATTCTTGGCTGCAGACTATACCTTTGATGAAGAAAGAGACTATTTTGCTCATTATGCACATTTAATATGTACTCTAAATTTCAATAAGCTGGGTTTTTCTTTTATGTATTAGTTTGCAGTGGCCCAGCAGGTTAAACCATTGAGCTGCTGAACTCGTTGATTGAAGGGTCAGTGGTTTGAATCTGTTTAGCAGTGTGAGCTTCTGCTATTAGCCCCAGCTTCTGCCAACCTAGCAGTTTGAAAAAATGCAAATGTGAGTAGATCAATAGGTACTGCTTCTAACAGTGCTCCATGCAGGCATGCCAGCCACATGACCTTGGAGGCGTCTACAGACAATACCGGCTCTTCAGCTTAGAAATGGAGATGAGCACCACCACTCAGAGTTGGACATGACTAGACCTAATGTCAAGGGGAAACCTTGTAATCTTTACCTTGTAAAGATATAGACTATGCTTATTGAAAGAAAATGAAAGCTTGGTTAAATTTACTTTAAGCTTTGTGTCCTATTTTACAAATCTATATGATATATTTTAATTAACTCTAGAGCTTTATCATATTAAGTCTAGGATTCTATATTTTGAAGCTAAAGCTGAATAAAGAGCAGCCATAGAACCAGTAACCAATTCAGAGCATTGGTTGAATGTTTGCTATGTTCCAAGCATGTGTTTTCCATCCGATTCAAAAGATGAGTCACATTGCTTTAAGGGGAAAAAACATCTGCTGTTAAAGAAATACAAAACTTCTTATTCACTTGGTAAAGAGAAACTCCCAGAAACACATTTTATGTTACGACTTCACAATATGTACTACATTTAAAAGGTACTAACTACAAGCTGAAAAAAATTAGGTTTTATTTAATTCATATTTCTTTATTTTCGCACATTTCACGTACCACCGAGGCTTTCCCCCTGGGTCCTTGGGTTAGACAGGATGTGGTGCTTCAGTGAAAGGCAGCAATTTCAGAACACGGAACAAACCACGCCTGGCACTTTCATTTGAGCCATTCAAATCAATCTGGATTGCCATTTGCTTCAGAAATTCCCTGGAAGTCCTATCTACCTGCAAAGTTATTAGTGTTATATATCAATGCATAACAGTAATACTTTTCTTTATGTTGTGACTTGAGAGCCTTTAATCTTTTTTCCCAGAAAAAGACAATTATTACAAATTTCCTATGCAATGAGGTTGTGTGAACTGATGCTACTGTGGGACTTCAGGATGCTTGTATATACCTGTCCATAGTCTGGTTTCAGCATTTCACATGTTATCATTAAAATACTTACAGCATCGTACATAGTACAGTACAAATAAGAGAAGAAGAAAAATATTTTTGATGACTAGCGACAAGATGTTGTCAAGTCAAAAAGGATAAAATTTAAAACCACATGCAAATTAGGCACCAAAGACTTCCTTGAATAGTCACATTTTTGCTTAGTACATAAATAAAGCCAGCATTGATATTCAATGGGATCACAACAGCATGCTGTCCAAAGTATTGTGCTTGAAATTATATGGTGAGATTTGGGATAGTTTCCACATCTGCACATTGTCACTCTGTGTTGCAGTCACTGGGTGTTGAATGTGCAAGTGTGAATTTGCCCTGCCATTTCCTGAGCTTTGCACAGACCCGTAGTACCCGCTGAACCTGTATGCTTTTGTAGCCAAGCAAGTGATTATGAAGATCATAGCTTTTGTCAGCCTCAGAGAAAAAGAACACTCTGCGCTTTGAAAAGTAAGGGTGCTGGGATAATGCCAGCCATGAAGCCCTACTAGATCATCAGGCAAAATATACACTCCTCGGGTCAAAATTTGATGACGCATGAGCATTTTTCTAATTTTAGCATAGACGACGATGGTCACCTGTGAATTTAATTAGCACCCTCGAGTTTCTTTTTAAATGTAAATAATGAATATGTCTTTCCCCAGCTGCTTTCCAGCCACCAAGACTGTATCCACACTACAG